TGTGCTTGCCTGCCTTTCCCCCCAGTGGATATCTATCTTTATCTCTTTTGTCTCCCCCCTTGATGCAGCCCTGCCGGCGGCGCAGTCTCCTATCAAACCCTTTAACTGCCATCCCCAGTGCAATAAGACGCTTTGCTTATTTCTCTCGCTGCCTGTTTCCACCTACCTACCTACATACACCCATGCTTTGCTGTAACTAACGAGACGGAGGTTAATAAGTAATAACAACATACGCAGCCTGTCCTTGTACATATATCTGCCTGCTCCCTGTCTATAGCCATCGCTGCCATCCCTGCCCTTCGATCTCGAGATCCATCCAGTAGCTAGTCAAGCAAGCTCCTCCATGATGAAAGAAGCTGGACAAAGAGAACTCGCCCTGCAGCACGCCACAGCCTTCTATCTGCTCCCGTCTGCAGGATATACGGAGTATCTATATATCAATAATGACCCGCCTGGCTAGTTAACTAGCTAGTTGGCGAACCAGGCCGGCGGTTTAGCTGCTTAGCTAGCTGGCTGGCTGGTTATTTAACTAACTAGCCTGTCGCTTCCCTTCACCCGCCGTCGCAAGTCGCAAACCGTGGCGCGCTACACGATACGAGACGACAAATTAATTTATAATAGCTTTGCCTCGTTAGAGCCCTGCAGCACTCGATTCTGGTCGTCGACGGGGTGGCTACAGCGTGACCGCGGACGGCGTCGTCGAGTTCTTTTTTTTTGCTGGCCGGACGGGATGCGAGGACGTCGGCTTCATCTTCGCCTCATCGTCGCATAACAAACAGCCAGCCAGCCAGCCAGCAGCACCGCGGCTTCAACTCCCCTTCTTCTCGCTGATGCCTCGAGCTCGCGCTCGCAGACCCTCGTCGTCCGGCTCTGGTCCTGGCTCTGGCAGGATGATACCGAACGGCAGCGCGGACGGGCATGTCTTCCATGTCGTCGTCCTGGTGAGTGTCGCATGCCCCCCCCCCCCCCGTCTCTGTACGAATTGCCATCTAGTTATATTGCTAACAGGATGTCTAGGGAGCATCGGGCGGACCGCGAGAAGATACAGCAACGGGCATGCTCGTCCGATCCACAGCTACAGACTGGGCCAGGGGCTCTGTCGTGGCCGTCGACGCCGGAACGCTGCTGTCAGCCATCATCCGCATCCTCGAGACCGACTCGCCCTCCGAGCTCGACACAGACTCTTCCCACGCCCGTACACACCTCCACGGACAGCGGAGGGTGGTCTCCTCGGGGCCCTTCGCCGGCCTGGAGCTGCCGTTTGTCTCCGCCGAGGCAAACGCAGCGTATATCTTCCGTGACATCCTCGCCGCAGTGCTCATCACACACCCGCATCTCGACCACGTATCCGGCCTGGCCATGAATACGCCCGCCGTCGAGGCCCAGTCGGGTCCCAAGACGGTCGCGGCGCTGCCCTCGACCATCGCGGCGTTAAAGAACCACCTCTTCAACGATATCACCTGGCCGAATCTGTCGGACGAAGACGGTGGTGCCGGACTGATCACGTACCAGCGGCTGGTGGACGGAGGAAATCAGCGTCTTGGGCGTGGTCCGGCAAAGGGATATGTGAGGGCTTGCGACGGGTTGATGATCAAATGTCTCGGTGTGAGCCACGGGAGGTGTAGGCAGCGGTACAATCCTGAGACAGAGAAGCATCATCGAGCTGAAAGCACAGTGTTTATGACTGATCCTGTACTGTTCCCGTCACGGCGGGTTTCGATCGACGCCTCCTCGTTACGGTAGGTCTACTACGGCTTTGTTTTGCTTTGCTTTGCTTTGCTTTGGTAGTTACGCGGATATGATACATCTAACATATGATACATCTAACTAACTAAACTTGTTACTGACAGGTCGTATTCTCCATCAACCCAAGCGCAGCAACTCTCTCTTAGCACAAACGGGAAGGATAGCTCGATATACGCGACGGTCGAGAGCTCGGCGTTCTTCATCCGGGATGATCTGACAGGCGCCGAAATTATCATCTTCGGAGACATAGAGCCGGACTCGATATCGCTGGAGCCTCGCAACGAGCGAGTCTGGGAAGCAGCTGCTCCGAAAATCAACGATGGCTGTCTGCGTGCGATATTCATCGAATGCTCATACACCGACGCTGTGGAAGACAGCGCTCTCTACGGCCATCTATGTCCTCGCCATCTGATTGCGGAACTCGAAGTGCTCGCCGGGAAAGTCCTTGATTCCCAAAAGCCTCACAAGGGAGACTCAAGAAAGAGGAAACGAGCATCTTCTTTTACCGGGCTTCCTCCCCCAGCGGCACCGGCAGCAGAGCAGTCCAACGCACCGCTCAGTCCAAAGTCAAAGGAAAACAAGTCGCCGTTTGCCGCTCCCTCAGCTCCCAAGACGAGGTCGGCCACGATAGCAGATTCCGCTACATCACGGCATAACACCCGCCAGTCCGCTGAGAGGGTAGAATTCCCTACGACCTACGCTCCCCAGCCACAGGGGAAAAGACATTCTCATTCCACTTCTTCTGCCGCCGGAGTCCCTGACCCAATGGCCATGGATACCACGACAGATTCACCTACAACTTCAGGCCCTCAGACCCGTTACCGCACATCAATAGGCGGAACTGCTCGCCCTCTACCTCTACAGGATCTAACAGTGTACATAATACATGTCAAAGATACCCTTACAGACGACGGTCCGCCCCGGGACCAGATTCTAGCTGAACTACGTCAGTTAGGTGAAGAAGCCGGTTTGGGATGCGAATTCCACGCTCCCTTGTCCGGTGAGGGAGTGTTCATCTAGAATGACCGGAAAGGATGGATATGAGATGATGTTTTTTTGCAACGACTCTCTCTTGGGATGTTTGGATGGCGTTGTTCTTTCTTTTTGAACCTTTTGCTGGTTTGCTTGCTTGGGTGGATGGTATGGAGGATAAAAAGATGGTATACGGCCCTTGCAGGTGATGATTGGACGGCATGTATGACCTTTTTTACTTTCTTTTCCCCCCTTTTGTTCATGTTACTACTTTGCTTCGCTTTGCGTTGCTTGCTTTGGTTACGATGCCCAGCATTGATGTTTGATATTCTTAGTTCATGTACCTCTTATGAAACGAGTAGTGTTAGGATAGTGAGACCCCGTGTTTAGACAGTATTATTACGAAGTATCTACTATTGCAAAAAAACGCAAATGGATATATTATGTGTATATGCCAAAGATTATTGAATGGATATCAAGAATAAGATGTATGATCAAGGAATCAATTTGTTTCAAGGCGCAAGATTCGCTCTCACTGGCCATGTCCCTGACTAGCTCTCTCGCGCTTCTCCAGCGCAAGATGGTGCAGGCTATTCATACAATGACATGCCTTGCTAGCTGACTCGCATGTCCCAGCGAGAGTAGACAGCCAACGAATAGCTAGGTCCGACTGGCTAATAATATCGTCCATTTCCATCGGTAAATGGGGCTCATCGAACGAAAGTTCCGTTATCAGTACACTACTGGCCTGCACTATGTAATGCAGTATACACCACCAGGGGGTCTTGCCATGTAGTTCGACGATATCGATGTTCAGCGGCAGAAGCTGCAGTATCTGTCTAGCAGCCGATATGCAACGCACAGCTGCATCGGAGTCCATCTGCCTTGACGCCTCAGATTGGTAAGGAATGGTTAGAATCAGTTCGGACGGATCACACAGAACAGGTTTGTTGATCAGTATCCTTGCGCTAAAGTAGCGGAGGTGCAGGTATGTTAGGCTCGTGGAGGGAGGAGCGCAGAGGTCTATGGATTGGACGGTGTATGGGAAGCCAGGGTCAATGCTTGCGTACCATTGGCTTAACTTGTTGTCTAAATCGCTTATCAGGCGCTGGGTATGTGCCCATGTATTATCGAGAGACTTCATGCCGTACAGCGAGGTTATAGCTTCGCTTACAATTTCATCTAGTCGGAGCCCGGTGATGAAATTGCTGGATGGGTATTCCTCGTCAAAGGAGTAGACGGCGGAGAGTTCCAGGTCTAATGTACTACCTAGGATATTGAAGTTGGCCAGAGGAAGAGGACTTCTGATAAAAGGTGGCTCAGTAGTTTGGAACGGCCTAATGTGAATTGGCTGACCTTGAAATTCAGATGGATATCCTGTGAGTATGCAGAGGAACTGCTCTAGAGATCGAAGTGAGTGCCAAACGCGAGCTTCAAGTTGCTTGGATTCTCCGGAGAGTTCAGGGGCAGTGGCTTGTACATTGAGAGATCGATTATACGCAAACTTCAGCGCAGTGGTGACTGATGTCCATGCTCTGGCAACGCCAAATTAGTACTTGAAAGACTGCAAGCAGCCATCACGGGGGGAAATCGGACGTTGAAATAGTTACCCTGTGATTTGATAAGTGGAAAGCTGATACACTCCCCTAATGGCGATAAGTTGTATCGGCTCTAACGAGGAATATGTGTCCGGATAGCCGCGGGGATCGACTATCCCCTGAGCCAAAGCCTGTGATCTGGCACAGTATATGCTATGGTCCTCTACTTCACCTGTCGGTATCTGTGTATAACGAGCCCACAAAGATCCGAGCGCAAGTACCATATTTAAGAGAGCCAGCCAGGGGTAAACGCCAAGCGGGTCGCTCCCGTTATGGTAGTAGGAATTATATCGAGACAGGAATCTTACCTTTGGAAGAACGGGGAAGAGAGGATGAACGGTGGTGAAGTAGGCATTTACCAGCAGATCAGCAACATCTTTTGGTGGTAAAGAAGTCAGATTATGCATCATGTCAAGCTGGGGGAGTTCAGCCTCGCCGGAGAAATAGTTGCATTTTTCATTGACATCGTCTATCTTCGCAGTTGTTTCCAACTTCCAGGACAAATCATATGAAGCCATGGACATAATATTCTCTGGTAACGCGGTGAATTTATTCTTAGTTGATCATAATAAACTGGTTATTTGAGGTGGATCTCTTACCTTCAGACATAAAATTCGGTAGTTGTAGCTTTACCAGAAGCATGCCCAGCCACCTAATAGTCGAGGTTTCGCCTACACATTCCACTGGCTTCCTACGCCCAGAATAAGCCCGTAGGGGAGAGGCGATTCCAAAGAGAACGGAATTTTCATCCTCAATAGTGTCTTCGGCTGATGGTGAGTTTTCGTCTGACATTGAGACGTCATCTTCAGCTACCGTAGAATTCTAAAGAAATTAGATTCAACAATCTGATCATGAAGTAGCCGTTGCTGTACATATATATACCTCGTGCAGTGCGTTTCTAATCGCCTGCTGTACGTCAGGACTTTGGCTAGGTATGAGTTTCGTGAGGAGTTTCTCGTACACGCTTATCTTCATGGACATCGTTTGTACATTTCTAGACCTCTTTTTTTAGAAAGAATATCAAGAATAAACAGTCGTAAGCGCATGGTATGGGGTATAGATGTAGCGAAAGAGTAGTAGCGAAAGTGCATAGGAGAGAGGGAGAAAACGGACCGTTTCAGCCTTTCTCGCTTTCCGTCTGCATATATGCATTCAACGCCCTGGTTCTTGCAACGAGAACAAATCGGATGTACACCATCGCATTTGGATTTGCGTTTTCGGCATGGTTCGCATGCATGGTTCACTCGATTCCGGTCTGGAGCCGGCGACTGCTGTGCCACTCCGTGTAGGCGGGGGATGGCTACTTTGCCCTCAGTGGGGGTTCCTACCGGGTTGCTTGCTAGCCGCGCGGCTGATGGAGAAGCAAAGGAGGAGGATGAAGCTGAAGCTGAAGCTGAAGCTGAAGATGAAGCCGTGAAGTTCTCAAGTTGACGTTGATATTGGGTCGAAGCTCTGGCTTGGCGGCGCGGACCGGGTGGTTGGGCCATCGATGGGCCAACTTTGTAGCCAAATTGTTGCCGTCGTGCTCTCTTGCACCCCTTTATCGTTTTTTTTTTTATCCTTTTATCTCTATCTCCCTGAGTTGCTCACCCTCACGCGATTCAACATCCAAGAATGATGGACCGGGCCAAACAGAGAAACGCACATGGAGACGGACGTGTAGCAGCTATATGTGCAGTAGCAGGAGAATGCCTGCTCCCTGACCAAAACAAGGCTACATCAGAGCAAAGCAATGCTTAGCCTTGCAGACCGCAAGACTAATGGTATCGATGCCTCACCTGGCTTAGCAGGTCAATGGAACATCCCCGTATTCCTTTCTTTTCCTGCTTCCAACCGATTCAGTCAGCTCCCGTGGGGTCGATTGGGCTCACACGGCTCTCGTTCGTATACGGCCAATGTGATGCGCAAATCCACACTGCATCTATCTCCATGTCGATAGGCCAGGGATCATCGTCTCGAACGAATTGGATTTCCTTCTGCAAGACCAAGGAGCAACATCACTACCATCCTTTGTTTATCGGGCGAATACCCACTACTACACTTCATGAAGACGTTTCTGAGAGGTAGTGCTGACACGGAGTACGCCTAGGATTGGCGTGTCTCATGGGCCCCTTGCTTCCTGCACCCCTGGCAGACTACAACATCGATAAATATGATGGTTCTTTGCTTGGGTTAAAACGGTTCTGACCCAACGCGGCCTCTTGCGGCCATATCTATCCATTCATCCGACCCCGAATTCCTTTTTCCGGATGGGCTTTCCACGGGATCTCGTGGCCGAAGTCCATCATGGGAGCAGCGACGATAGACGGTTGACTTGCCCAATGGATGGTGCACTGACCCCTTGGCTCCGTGTCCTTGCAAGAAGATAGGCAGCACGACCCAGTTCCATTGCACCCCCGCTAGAAAAGAGGTCGTGCCTCTTGCCGATAAGATAAAAGGTTCAATATCGTTTCTGTGGCCAGCCTCCATAGATAACGGCTGCAATTCCGCCATTTAACCTATACCCTCTAGACGCAAAGCTCCAGCCTCAGCCCTCAAAGTCTCGTTTGATAGTTATCCCTGTCGATGGGCCCCAATGTCGAAGAAGGTACTCATTGGCTAAAACTGACGTAGTTAAGCTCCTTCGACGTTGAATATCCTTGAAATCCGTGCCATCATGTGAGGGCTTTTAATTTTTTTTTTCTTTCAAGATGTCCGTTTCAGCTCTGTTCGACACCTCCGATTCTTGGATCCTTCCCCCATCTCGGGGTTTGGAACATCTGGTCCCACTAAACGATCGATTTCCAACGTTGCAGCCTTGCATCTGCCCCTCTGGGGTACATATCCTCACAGCAAGGGGGGGGGGGGGAGCAGGAAGAACGAATTCGTGTGATTTAGATTACCTTGAGTAGAGGCCAAGCCCATGCTCACTCTACCATGCCATGGATCTATAGATATCCAACGCCTTTTGCTGCTTTAGATTCGGAGCTTATCGTATTTCATATCCCCCGGACACTACGGAGTACCTTTCTTCGTATCGAGATGTCGTCGGATATCGCCTGGACGGCTTGTTTGGTTTGGTTGGCTCTGGACGCTTGATCCCCCAGCATTGGCAAGAAACCTGCATATGCGACTTGGCTTAAAGGGAAACATGGAAGAGAAGTGCTTAAGCCAGCCTCAAATCAGGATTGACATGATTTCAGGTCACGAGCAGCTGGGTAGTGACTTGGCAATGAAGCTCACACCGCTCTGCTGACACTCGGGGCATTGCTCTCTTCGCATCAAGATAGACAGCATGGTAGCAAAAAAAAAGGGTTGTTCAATGATCGTACCAAGATAAAATACAATATGGATGTGGAGAGGGGTATGTTTGTGTGGTGGGGTACGTAACAAACATGACAGACAGATATGATAAACTGTAGGCGGAATCTACAGTAATTAGAACCTCATACAAGATTTATCATATGTTGTCAATTGCATCGGCCGAGCCGTTCAACCTCGGGAGATCGAAGCTTGAGCTCCCCCACGATCTCTTCCCAGGCTCGTATCTGTAACACTTTCCCCTCGCTTGTTCCAGTAAGAGTAGCCGAGATGCTGTAACGGTTAGCTCCCAAATATAGAACGGAAAGAGGGCTTGATAACTACCCTGCATTGTGGGGGAGGATATATATAACTTGGTGATCTTACTCTGGATATTGGTCACTTCTCCACCATTTTCCATGGGACTCCTCGCCGAGCATGGTAGCGCTCACAAGGGTCCTGCTACCTTGCTCTGACGTACGGCCAAAGATGAGTTCAAACACAGCAACGAACATCCTCTCGTGCCATGCGTCGTACTCGCGACCTAAGCGGGAACGACAGAACCCCGGGCAGGCAGAGTTGACGATGACTCCCAGTGAGCCATCATCGCAGCGGGTTAAAGCAGCAATGCTTTTTGCGGTGTATTCGACAAGGACCTTCGATAATCGGTACTGAGAGTGCGCACGGAAGTTTTCCTCGCTATTCAAGTGTTGAAGGATGCTGTTCACTCCATCAGGCTGTAGCTCCCCTGCCTTTGCATGTCTGTAAGATCCGCTTGAGACAAAAGTGAGATGAGCGGGGGCTCCCGTTGCGGTATCACGGCTATCTCTTAGCTTTGGGAGTAACAGTAGCCCCAGCAGTGCGGTTGAAAGTGCGTTGACTTGAAGCGTCTCTTCCCATCCGTCTGGTGTCAGGGTATATTTCCTATGCATGACTCCAGCATTCAACAGTGCTATATCAAGCCGCGGGACTTCATTGTTAATTTTCTGCGCAAAAGATGTCACGCTTTGATAGCTGGCCATGTCCAGGGGCCATATTTGAATGTCAAAACTGGCGGAGCTGCTCGCATGCTTTGTACGTTGTTCAATAACTTTTTTCGCCTCATTGCCCCGTTCAATGCTACGGCAGGCAATTATCAATGAGGAAACCCCCAAATTTATATATTTTATGGCTGCTTCGAGTCCCAGGCCAGATGTACCGCCGGTGAGGAGGACTGTTTTCCCTTCAAGCGAGGCTGTTGGGTTGGCAGGCGGGAACAGTCGGCCTTGTATGAGCCGCCCGAATCCGACGAGAGACATTGTGCTCTGCAACGAACAACACTGGAAATCAGGGAGAGACTGCAGGACGATGAAGTGGCATTATCAGTATCTTCGCGAATGTTGGGTGTTTTTGACGATGTTGGCACAGAGTGACGTTGACGATGATGCGCGTCTAAGTTGAGCGGCGCAGTTGACTTTTCCTACTCTGACGCTCTCCTGAAATTTCTTTTTCCGGGGAGCAAAAAGAAGCTTTTGACAAGCCCTGGAGCAGTTCTCAGTTATCTTAGCGCAGTAAACTAGATATCTTCTTCTTCCCGGAGGAATAAGGGCGTTTTGGGGACCGGCTGTATTGGGGGATACTTCTTTAATGCCTCTTCTGATTTGGAGATTTTTAGCCTCTTGCTAGAGATTCCAAGGGCCCCCTGGTAATGATTCATCAGGATATAGCCTCTTTTTCTGCGAAAACCAATAAATAAAAAGTAGTGCTGAGCTCAGAACAGCAGTAGCACGCTGTTTCTATGTATATTTCTATGCTAATTCCTGGTCTCCTCTGGGAGAATATCCATCCCAATCTAAGCCTCCAGATCAGTATATGACCACAGTAGGAGATTAGTATCTGTAAGGGGACTTGGTTATCGTGGTGAGGTCATGATACTATGTATGTGGATAACTTTATAGAGAATAGTTTGTCAGTAACTCTATCCCCCTTTATAAATCTATGTTTATCCATTGATTTCTGGGCCTGTTCCTTTGTAATTGAGCCTCTAACGTAGGGTGAAGTATTCTTTCAACTAAGTGGAAGAATAGAAGGTTGCAATAGAGTCTGCGGCCTCCTTTTCCTTAGATGTGCCCCCGGAGGTGGTGTTTTTATGGCTGCCAATTCAGGAAGCGCCCTTGTCTAGTGATAGACAGCTCGTTCTGGGCTGCAAGTACCTGAACGCCCCTGGTCGTCTAGTTGGTTTAAGGCGCTCGGCTGTAATTGTTAACTCATGAAACCGAGAAATCGCTGGTTCGACTCCAGCCCAGGGGAGTTTCTTCGTTTTTTTGGCCCATTTTTTGTGTTGATGTTTTTTTTTCGCGCTCGCTTTGTGGACATGGATATAAAAGCGCGGCTAGCCGGCGGGTAAATGTATATTTACCCGACATGCACGTGATTTGCGGCTAATCTGCTTAGTAAGATGGCCAATCCAGCGATCCCCGAGAAGAAAAAAGGCGAGCGCAGGAAGAATGAGGAAGAGGACGCTGGAATGCGAGTAACAAGTGTAAAAAAGAGCATAAAATTCACCTGAGATACATTACTTACACTTGTGGGCGTCAGTTTTCAAGTGTAAACTACGTTGTGCGACGTCGCCGGCGACTGTTGCTGGAGAACTCCTTGGTGCCGGGCGGGAGGAAGGCCGCTCAAAGGGACGCCAAAGAAGGGCCCTTCAACAAAAACATCTCCTGATGGTCTAGTTGGTTTATGACATTCGGCTGTAACTGAAAAATTGTAACCGAAGGGTCCCTAGTTCGATTCTGGGTCAGGAGAGTTTTTTTTTTTGCTTTTTATTTTTTGGCCTTTTTTTTTCCACCCCATCAAAATTTCCCTAACAGCATAGAAGTCAACTAATCGTCCACTTACAGATGAATAATGTCGGTAGTTGGGCATTTATAAACACTTCCTGCGCTCGTGAGGACACATATGAAAGTACCTAGCCTATCGTAAAGTCCCTCCTTTCCCTGGGGCTCCTTGTTTTTGGTGCAGTTCCTTCGCCATATACATAGTGGTTAACCGATACACACCAAAAACCCCGGGCAAAATCCTACAGTCCCGATAATTAAGCTACAGATAAAGGAAAAAATAAAATAAAATAAAACTAGACTAAAAAGCAAGGAAATAAAAGGAGTGAAGGATAATAAAATAACGAAAATCGGACACATCAATATGCCATGTGGCGAGGAAGTTCCTTGTACCAAAGGTGTGCTGGCTTGTTGATAGAGCCACTGGCTGTAACATGCCTGGTAGGACAATCGTACAATCCGCCTCTCACATAAGTACTTACTCATAATTTTCGAGAGATCAACGAAATCGACGCAATGTATACATCCATAGCAGCAAGGAAGTGGTAAAAGTCATAATGAAACAATATTTTATGGGTATCTCATGACCTCGTGAGAGAAATGATTTATCGAATAGCGCAGGATGGCCCCCGGAATTCGGGCAGTAGCTGGTTGACAGAAAGTGATTGCTCCTCGCTGGCGTAGAAATCATGATGGAAACTGGGACGGGTGTATCATAGGCACATATTCTCCTGCGGGGTGTAACCCTTGAGTTCGGACCACTCGAAGGTGTACCGGCCTGGATCTGATACACGTAAACCGTCGGTAACCAGTATCCCCCGTCGTAATGGGCAATCAAATTATGCCGACCATCCCTGCTGTGTGTTCCAAGCAGGTTGTTGCTCTACCTCAGAGTACGGATGGTGATACTCTGGGTACTGGACAGTAGTCGCGGCAGGATAGCTCATCCGGGGATCTGTCTGCGGACAGGTACTAGGCGTCATGGTTGCATTGTTCACCGAAACCGGGGATGGAAGGCTGTTACAAGCTAGGGTACTCGCTTGGTGGCTGGAGTGCGTGGGAGAGTAGTTACCCGACACATTGTTGAAGCTGGTAGAGTCCAGTCCAGCCCGGTTATACTCAGGAGCAACATGTGTGAGGGCGGCTTCACCGTTCATAGGCCAAGATGCCTCCTCACGTCCAAATACCCGGAACGCTTCGTGTGCACCGTTGGTAGGCGAAGACTCGCATTTCACCAGGTCAGGCTCGGATGGGGTAGATATCGAGCACGAATCGCTGGACCGGGACCGGTCAAGCGCACAGCATGGCCTGATGGGGGAATTGTCGTGTTCTGGTGAATTTGGTCCCGACGATTCGTTTTTCCAGTACTTCGAAGCTGCCATCAGCTCGGCTTCTACGTTATGCGTAATATTCTGCTCCTCAGCTTGTTTGATAAGGCCGAGTCGGTCCAAGATCGCGTGGGTTAAGGGGTACCCATCCACGAGCTCGATGGGTTCGCCTGGAAAACACTTGTTGTTGATGCAATGTGTATATAACTGCTGAAGTGCCTTGACAACTAGAGCATGATGGGACTCCAGCATTTCAACGAAGCTATACAATGCCACAGACTAAGTTACTTGCAATGACGGCCGGTTGTTTCCTCCCAAGATGATTCCCCTCAAAATGGAAGTATATGAGACACCGTTCTCCTCACCCTCTGGAATATGCCTTGGTCTGTGTTGCCTTCCTCTCCCGGAACAGGCACGGATGGTTATACACAGCACATCGATAACATGGTTGGTTTCCGTCACACTGTAAACACGTTTTATATATCAGCGTCAATTAAGTATTCACAAAATAGTTGAGCTTGGACACAAAAAGCACAAAAGCAAAGCCACAGAAGCCAAAAGACATTGCTGGGTGGATATATATACCTTTGTCTTCTTCACCCTACATCGATCACAGGCTTTTAGAACGTGCTTCCGCTTCGTTCGTAAGATCTGATGGCGTTGATTCATGTCCAGGGGACGAGGGACATGTCCATAGTTGGGGATGGCTACCATGGCCCCGGGTATGGGCAACGACTCCGAGAGTCTGGATGAGACATGGAGTTTCGGATAGATTGGGTGTGGTTGCGGCATTGAGACGTAATCTAATCAACCAGACGGGGGAGGAGGAGGAGGAGGAATGTTTTACACGCCAGGAAATTGGGGTTGGAAGAGGTCAATTCCAAACAGTCAATAGTGTTATCAGGCGAAGGGTAACCAAAAATGAGAGCAAATAAATTTGTCCCCTATTTGAACAAAAGAAGGGGCTCGTGTGAGGTGAGTACGGAAATGGCTTGGTTGGAAATATGAAAGGGGAAGAGTGTCCTGTGATATAGTGAGGTTGATTTATGTTGTAGATGACAACCGATGTAGGAGGTAGATGCACTGCAAGTTTTTAAACATGCCTACCTATGGCTGTTTTCTGGAAACGATCGCCTCAAAAAGCCCCAAATAGTGGGGATGACGTGGAGAAACCCGTTCTCGTCACTCTTATGTACCGGAATGTTTTGTTTCCTCAATTTAAAGAAGCTCGACACCTCACACGGAAATAAAAAAGAAGTACCTTTGTAGCGGCTCGGAAATAGATAAAAAGGGGAGGGGGGGGAGGAGGCAAGGATACCCACTTAAGCTAGCTAACTAGCGGTCGTCCTTGTATGCATGGGGATGGTCTCCCATAAATGACATCCTTTTCCACGGGTCATTCCCGATCTCCACCGCAGCAGCTCTGATGGAAGGGTGACTTGGCTTGTACTAATTAGTGGAGAATTCCAGTACCGCAGCCACTTATAACGGGCCGACCCGGTTTCCACAATGGGAAGGGGGGGGTAATGTATGCATGGGAATGAAGCGAGGCGGGCGTGTAGCATAGAAAAGGTTGCCTAGGACTTTTGCTGACAAGGAAGTCTTGGGCAGCAACTTGGACAGCCGAGAGGATTTCAAAAGCTGCATCCTAAGGGCAATGGGAATAGCCGACGGATCAAAAAAGCAAACAATGGCTTAAAAAAAGAGGGCTCTATTTTCAACCGCTGTCGTTCTTTTTTTTTTTTTTTTTTTTTTTGCGTTTTTATTTTTTATTTTTTTAATATTGAGCCAGGGGGATATTTAGCTCGCAATTTCAGCTTGTATGAAAACCGAGGCTTACTAGCGACCTAATGGTTGGCAGGTTCCGTCCGTTCTGTCCCTCTGACTAGGGCCAGTCACACGACGACGGAAGAAAATCATGAGATTATCAGATCTGGTGCTCCGAAGTTGACTTCCAAGATAAACGCGATGGGAATGTTTCATCTGCAGGAAGTAGTTGATAATTCCCAGTTGGATTGGGAATGGGCGTTCCAATTTGAGTCGTGGCAGCAAGAAACGGCAGAGCGAGCAAGATCTGCCATTTTGCTTAGAAAAGAAAAGAAAGGAGGGAAGAAAAACAATCCTAGCATTTTTACATACGCAAACCGCGCCTGTAAGGTAAATAAATCGGTCATGGACTCCTGATAGCAGCTTTGACAGAGAGCGCAAAAGTCCAAGTTAAAATGATCCGTCTCTTCACGTGCGCCCATAAAATGGCAGAAATCGTGCCACCGTAACCTGTAACCCGATAGCTGGATTGACATAACCTCCTTTCTCGTATGGCCAATAAACGGAATAGGCCAGGGGTTGAGCGTAGTGAGGGGGTTGCAGAACTACGGTGTCCAGTACAACAGAGGGGTATGATTGTACTCTGCAGCGGCTGTGTCGTTTCTCGCTTTGTAACTAGTACCTAGATGTATCAGCGTCTCTTCTCGAGTGAGCCGCGTTCCAACAAGCAAATGCACTCGGTAGTCCCTTCTAGCCCCCTTGAGGACACGGCTGGAATTGCGTTGAGGCGGCAGTAGTGGGACCGTATCGGCCATGCAGCGTTCATGTCGGTGTTAGTGATGGCGTGTGATGGGCCTCATAGGCCGGAGGTACAGGGACAGGGCCCCTGATACATACAACGCCTTGGAGCGTATTTTTTTGTTTGGCGCTGGCAGTGCTTTGATGCAGGCTATGGTCATCGGTCGTCCGTGGACGGAGGTCGCAAGCGACGTCCTAATTGGGATCCTCGATAAACTGACAGGATCACGTGGTAAGAGATAAGATTAACCTCGAATCACGGGCCGCCCCGAGCTTAGATAAGCTTAAAACCACCTCGTAACAAAAAGTGATAGCTCACAGTCTATCCGCCTCCACCACACGACTCCCAAAAACGACGTCTGCGCGTAAACTGTCCTTTTTTTCATGTGCATGATAGTTATGTGCTATGTATGTCAATGATGTACGACATTGGCCGCGCATACGGTACTCTGACAGAAACCTGCTTTGTACCCACATGCTTCTTATTCCTTCATGGTATTTTTCTTCGTCCAATAAGCTCTTTGTTATTTCGAACCAGGATTGAGAGGATACCATCTAAACAGCTTGGTTGGCTTATTTGATACCAGCAGAACGACGAGATCTGCGTACTCTGTCTGTACATCCGATAATATCTCACATTTCCCCAGCTAATATTGATGTCCTGGATACGCGCCCGACGAAAAGCAATTCCATGATCACCTCGTTATATTGGTTCTGTAAAGGAACATATGCATGTTATTGACTCGCAACTTGTCTCCGTTAAAAATAGTGGTCTCACATACATATCTTGGCATGCAACGCCATAGCCAAGGGTTGCCTTCTGGGTTGGGGTTGTTATTTGTTGGTTGTAAATTCGAACCACCAATAACATTACAAACCATTGTGCTGCCTTGCAAAATATGTGCATGGATCGTGGTTACTTGCTAACAGGTGAAATGCTCTGAAAAAATGCAGCCTCGATGTTGCATTTAGTCAGGCATCGTGGCTCCAAGTTCAATTAACAATCCATGAGAATATAGCCTTCTGTCAGAATGTCTGCTGGACAGTCTAGAACTAGCGGAAGATTTATACCAGAAACACCCGGGTGACGGGAGTATACCCCGTGTCGGAGGTTACTCCATCCATGCCGTTCTACTTGCGGTGACGGAGTTTCCTATCCCATGGGACATAACAGTGGAGTATAATTCCCGTTTTGTGCAGGAACAGGCCTTCGTTTCTTTTTCGGGGTTGTTATCATGTACAAAGCTCGATCCTACACTTTACAGCCGATGGAGATCATTATTACGAATCAGCCCATGTAAACCATGGTCGACAAACCTGATACTTTGCCAACAGACGTGCATATATGTGCGTATTTTTTTTTCTTTTCTTTTTTACCTCCACCCTGCAGCTAAGGGTGCAAGTGCGGCTGGCGGCTTTTCCTTCGCGGTTGTCTCTACAGCGGATTCCTTCCTTTGATTTCACGCTGTGCTCGCTGTATGTGTTCGACAATTCCCGAGGACAGATTAAATACTTGCATTGTATACTGCGTCTATATACAAAGAAGATTGTTATACCCACTGCTAGAGGCATATGTATTGTGGAAGACCAGTGATCAAGAGACAGCTTGGCGAACAGCGTCCGTGCAACAGGGTGTGGTCAATGTGCAGGGATAGGGGAAGGTTGTGGTCAGGGGGCTGCAGGATAAGGCCCTTAATCAAATGCCGACCGAAGCTAAGTCAGGGTACATTTCTGTCTGCGGGCCAGTCATATCATCAGGTCGGCTATTGATTCATTTTCCGGCTGCTGGTTTAGCCGATATACTTCCCGCTTTTTTGCTTTCCTTCTTCCTTCTTTGGCAGCGTCATCTTTGACTCTCATTACAAATTGCAAAAACTAAGCATAGTCAACGCCGAAAAAGTTAGAAACATACCAAAAGGAAAATACCTACCAGAAAGGATGATTGCTGGCTTAGGTAACCCTACCGAAGGGCTTATATGCTTGTGAATTCACTATGTTTAGACACTGACATGCGGCCTCCCTGCGAGTTATATACGTTGTGCTCTGAGCGGAGCAAGGGAGAAGGGCTGATCTGCCGCCGGGGTAAGTTTTACGGAAAGCTCTTGAAGAAAGCATGTCTTCACTAGACACACGGACGGTATATATAGCAAAAAGTCATATATATCTACCCTCTGTCACCTTTCTTTCCGGGCCCTGGGCAACGAGAGATCAAAGAGAAGGGTTTGAACAGCGTAGTTTTTCAACCCAGCAAGGGCTGCTAAAAAGTGGCGCATTGGGAGTAATCCCGTTGGTGCATTTCAAGCGACTCGGTGTCCAACCACAAGGCTCATTTAATAGTTAGTTAGTTAGTCTACTAAATTAAATTGATTTGAAGTGCGTAGGCTGCGCGCCTGCATGTCACTGTACAGGGCGTCAACAATTTTCCGCCCTTCCCATACGATACCAAAACATGCCTACAGGCACAAATCTGCATTAGAACAGATAAATAATATATAATAACAAAAATGAAGCATAGATTATTCTGCATACTCAAAATACAGCTGAAGAATGATGCTACGAAGTGATCTCTCGAATTCATTGTCGCCCTGCTAAGGCAGAGTGATGCTTGCTTCCCCTTTCGCGAGGTGGTCAAAACTTTCCTCGCTTGCAGAAGTTGTTGGTGGGCTTGGATGACTGCCGGCTGCATTCGCACCGTCCTCCATATCCCCATTGCCGTGTGGGGTACAGCCGGGGATAGTGCCAATCCACTCAATGCCATCCCCGGCCCCGGGAGCACCTAGCACCCGTTGCTCCTTGAGCTGTTCTTCAAACGCTAAAGTCTGGCCAGGTGATTGCGATGCAGCTGTGGAGGGGGGAAGTAGGTGTCTTCTGTGCCACGCACCCAGAAACATTCCATCAGGATCAGCCTCATTTCTGGCCTGTAGCCATTGATCCAAGTTGTCCCCGTACATTTCTCGGAGGGCCTCATACCCAAGGTCTTCACCAAAATTTTTAGCCCAATGTGGTTTCCCACCTAGATCCCGCATGAGCCATTCAAATGCCTCATAGTACCTTTCCCTGCAAGGAGGATCACGCAGATAAGGCCGATATAGAGTGGCGTTGAGAAAGAGAGTAGGGCCATCAGGATAAGTGGAGTCCAGGTACGGGCGAGGAGTCTTTGAGATCGAAGTATCGGAGACACGTACTTCAATGGGGCAATGTACCCAGACAGACTCGGAACTAAATGGTATACGTGCAGTTTCCTCATCGCCATGGAACCAGGCGGACAGTCGGGTAATGGCCTCTGGACCCTTTTCTAATGGAAGTGCCCATTCGTTCACAAATTGAGAATACAGGCAGTCCATCAACAGACCAGTGCGAGCGGGTTGAACTGCCTCAGTAATAGTCTTTCCGGGCGTAAAACCATATTGCATGCCAAACACAAACCACTCAACCCAAGGCAGGATCCGGGGCACGTAGTTGGAGAGATACAATAAGTTATGGTAGATGAAGTAACCTAAAGCACCACCGTACCAGCTTGCAGGGGGATCACGAGTCGGGAGGTCGGTCTTGTCCGCACGCCAGACAATCGCGCGCTTCATATAAGGCATCCACCACACCCTCACATACTCCGTAGATGTCCATAAGCCAGAGTCCCACGTATCCAATACCTGTGGCAATGTCTTCAGGGACTGCTGCCAGGCGATATTGAAAGTTGGGACTGCCTGCAAGGTCATCTCCGTGATGATACCAATGGCTCCAAGGGACACCAGGGCGGCACGAAACAGCGACGGATTGGTCGCCTCGCTACATCGGACAACCTGGCCATTCGCAAGCATGATTGACAATCCCAACACACGTTCGGACAGCAAGCCATACTTGAGTGAGCTGCCATGTGTCCCCGTTGAAATCACTCCTGCTATAGACTGCTCATCGATGCTGCCGAGATTAGGAAGCATCAGCCCATTCTTCTCCAGCTCAATGCCAAGCTGTCTCAGCCGTATACCGGACTCGACCGTAACAACGCCTGTATCACGCGAAAACGAGAGGACCCGACGGTAATTGTCCAGGTTGACAACCCATGATGACGTGCAGGTAAGATCAGACGGCGAGTGACCACTGCCGACGGTTACTATGCGTCGGCGGCATCTGCGAGCAAGAGTGATGACCTTTTCAATCTCGGCAACTGACTCGGGCTGAATGTAAAGTTCCGGTCGAGAATAGAACGTTTTTGCCCAGGTGTGATGGAGGTGTGACTTGGTCGCTCGAAATGGCACCGAGGGGTCTAGTTTGGCGAGTTCGGCGGTTATGAGAGCGTCCATTTTTGCCTGGTTCTTCCGCTTCTCTCCCACTCTTCTCCTTTTCTCTTACCCAAATTTCCTTTTCCTGGCCCCTTTGCCAGGCTTTCGAGTCTGGATCTCGCCTGCTGGCTGCTGTTCAATAGCCGGTCGTTCGTCTGGAGGGAGAATCCTTTTCCCCACCACGATATCTGAAACCAGGAAGTACCTCTCGGCAGGATGGCAGCAAAGTCTACTCGATCAATGCATGACAGCGGTGGCGTAGGAGAGAATGCCAGCTGTCTGGACGATGATCTTGTCTTTTCGTCTTTCTTCCCGCGGGTGTGATGTTCTTCGGAGGTTTGAGGTTGAGATGGGAAAAGGTGAGACGTCTCGATCGTTAACTAGTTAAACCTTGGAGAGCCACCGGATTAGTTAGTTTTAACCTTGAGCGGTTCTGTTGGGTAAATAAAAGACGCAACCTGTAGTATATAGAAGAAGTTAGCAGTAACTAATATAGATCTGTAAAGGTGATGGACAAATCAATAGAGCTAGAAGCCCAGCAAGACAGTCTTGATACTTATCTGACGTTCATATCGAAGTTCCACCTTTAAAATGGCTGGTGGCTCTGATTTGTTCACCCATGCAGCCAGTGAAGTTGCAAGAAAATAGTTTATCAAGATTCAAGAGGAAACAAAAAGTACAAAAATTCATCATGCTATTCTATGCGGTCTATGCCATGTAGCATCCAATGATTTTCATGACCCTACTTCTGAGTGCCGATAAAAGTTGTACAAAACCCGAGCTGACAGAAAGACGGGTAGCCAGTAGGAAGAGAGTAGACGAAGTGTAAAGCAAGAATGGATAGCCTCCAAAAAACCGCTAATATGGGATAAAAAAGTAAAGAACAAGGGGAGAATCGAAGATAATGCTAGTAGAAAATGGTGTCAAAGAGTATATGGTGAATCATGGTAGCTCATCGGATTGCATCGATAGCCACGGCCAGTGGAATGATGATAGGAGTCTTGTTTAGCGTGCCCAGGGAGTGTCTGCCGTTCCAGTTTCTGAACGCTCGTTTGCACTCGGTCGGTAGGCCTTCGAGAACAACATGGCTCTTTGGTAGGAATGGGCGATCTTGCTCAGACACAGCGAGGATTCCATATTCCTGGGCAAATACGAGAGCGGAAGCAAACTCTGCCGAACGTGCGTTTGATCGATCACCAACAATACTAGAGATTGGTTAGAATCTCGGGTAAAAGAGTGTCAGCTGCTACATGAGGCGGACTTACACATAGATTTCAAAAAACGCATCAAGAACGTAAATATGCGCTGGGTCAAGATCACGTTGGCAGAATGGTTCGATCTCCTGCACTGTGTCATTCGGTCGAGACACTGGCGATGAGGCTCCACGTCGGTTGAAAAAGCTCGCTCCAAACCACTGGCCAAGCTCATGGTCGATACGGTACAGTCGACATGAGTATTTATCGTGCTTCGGTTTGAGCTGCCAGTAGTCTGCTGACGGTGGCACCGCTTTTTCCTGGCCGGGGAAGGATTCGAAGAAGCTGCTCGGTTCCTCGCCTTCGGCGACCTCTTCGATCTCACCTGTTGGCCCGATGTCCATGCCAATCAAACGGGCACAACCGATTTCGTCGGCTGTGCTTCCGCGTCCTTGCCATAGGAATAGTCTATTGTTCTTGCCGGATATTATGTAGGTGAATCCTGAACAGAGGTTGCTGATGGACAGATCGACTTCGTCAAATGCTATTTGGCCCATGTGTCGTCTCCCGCAGAGCATGTATTGAGCTGACGAGCCGGATCGACTACTTGGTCCTCGTCGCGTGATCATGATACCACCGAGGGCTTGGATGAAGTTTGGTGTTTCCTTACCTTGCTTCAAGAGCTCAAGTTTGCAGTTGTGCTCTCTTGCGACCTTTCGAGCAAAGAGCTGCGCATCTTCAGCGGTTGCTTCTCCAACTCCGTCACCACACCATAGGTGTACCTCTGTTGCTCTGCCACCAGAAGATTTCTCGAACGTGTGAACGCAAAGGTACATGCTCTCATCGAACAAAATATACTCTTGGTTGCCAGGCAAATCTTTTCTCTTTCCATCACCAGTCAACTCCCATACATGCTTGGTAAGGGTTGTGGTCTTGGGATATGACTCGGGTTTACCCATCATAACTGATGCCGGATCAATCTCTACTTTATCTTCAGCGGTAGGCTGGTTGAGGAAGAAGTTCGAAAACATTTGAGATACTTCGGAACTTTGGGCAAATGCTGGGGTCTTAGTCGGCGACGGCGAGCGAGATTGCTCTCTTGGTCGATTAGCATTCAAACCCGATAAGAACGAGGGCTTTCCCAGGCGTGGCGGAGCTAAAGTAGTGAAATCTGTTAGCCCAGCCTTCGCCTCAGATTGAACTGGCCTCTTCTCTAGCGGAGAATCTAGTCGTGCCTTTTGTGGTACGGGAGAGTCATCTACCAGGGTCTGCTTTTTAAGACTGAGTGGAGAAGTAGAAAGGGTTGCGGATTTGGGTGGAGGGCTGGGCCTGTCCTTATTCTCAGCAGGGCTGCTCTTTGATCGACTGGGTGCTGCGAGGTCTGCTTTAGGCAATTGGCGCTCCCCTGAGGGAGTAGAAGGAAGGGATGAGTGGAGAGGAACCTCAGATTTCTTCTCTTCGCTATTTGATGTTAGAAATTTATTCTTCAATTCCGAGTTCAAATGTTTTGGCGCGGTAACAGGTTCCTTTTCTGTGGATGGTAAACGACTGGTAGCCGGCCTGGCTTCAGGTAGCTTTTCTGGAGCAGTGTCATCGGGTTTGGTAGCTCCAGGAGCCGACTCCTTTGCAGTACCTTTAGGTAAACGTCTCTTGGGCCCTCTGGCACGAGATTTAGTCATGTGTGTTAGTGCTTCCGGAGTAGATGGCTCAGCGGTTGATTTTGTTGACACGGACGCTGAAGGGGCGGCCTTTGAGGGAGCTGGAGGTCCCCGAGCAATGAGATTTGCTAACATGGGGTTCATTCGATTACCAAGCTTGCCTTTGGCTGCGGGAGACGAAGTGTCGTGGCTAGGAGGAGCTGCTGTCATGGTTGCATTCGAGCCAACAAGGCTGGTGGTAAGGGGTTCTGTTTCTGCAGGTGGTGATGGGACAGGTGATTTCGTCGGCGGCGATTCTACGGCCTGAGGCGGCTGACTTTCTTTTTCCTTGGGGATCTCTTCAGAAGAAGATGAACGAAGGGCTGCCGGCTTTGACAATGGTTTGGCAGGTGCGTTTTTTGATCCAACTGTGTTCCTTATACTATTCGACCTACCAAGATTCTGTCTCACGAGAATGGCTTCTGGGGTAGAGTCTTGCGGTGGTGGATTATTGGAAGGCCCAGTGTGATCCGGGCGAATTGATCCACCGGCAGCTTTCATTGCCTCCTTGCGCTTCAAGAGGCTCTCTTTGAACTCGTCTACTCGCTCGGTTTTCTTGGGGCCGCCGGTCACAGTCAGTCCGGCTTTACCGCGAAGTATATTGCCTTTGAGCTCGTCAGGGGCAACATAATTCTTAGTTTCGGCGCGCCGTAATTTACCAAAGACTGCCTTGAATTCTGGCTCGTCCTTTTTAACGCTATCGCCGACCGTTTCACGACGGCGCAAGTTGGCGCGGAAATCAATTTGGGAGGACTTTACACTAGGTGCAGCTGGTTTGGAGGGGGTATCTTGGGCTGGAGATGAGACTGATCCCTTTGTTTCCGACTTCAGGAATTCACTTTTTGCTGGGATTGGAGGTGACTTGGTGGAATCTTTGGGAGGTAGGACTTCAGATGGGCTTGGATTTGAAGATTCTATGGCATCCTGAGGCGGATCTATTTTCAGATCAGAGGAAGACTCCTTCAATATTGGACTCTGAGATTTTTCCGGTGAGCTGGAAGGGTCCGGTTGTTTAGTTGCGGGTGGTACAGCCTTTTCGGGCTCAGGAGTAGCTGTTTTCTCTGGCTGATTCAGTTCCTTAGCCTTTCTCAGCCTGTCTGTTAGGTCCTTCTTCCATTCCGGCTCCTCCGGTACACGAGGCTTTGGTTTGGGGGAGTCCGGCTTGCTGAGTGCACTCTCTAACCAGGATGCTTTTGTTGGGCTCCATCTTCTTGGATCCATAGTCTTAGTCGGGCTGACTGGGAGGCCCGAATCTCGTCCACTAGCTGTGCTCACCGATTCCCTCCGCCGAGATGGAGGTCTTGCATAGGCATCCGTCGACCTACTTATCACTGATGCATCATCTCCTTCCCCGCGAACAACTGTTGCATCACTATGGCTAGATCCGGGTCGAGAGTCAGGCCGTGAACCAGGCCGCGAAGGCATGCCTGAAAAGCCATCAGGAGACATTGCGGGTGACGGAAGGGCCCTGGCACCGCCTCCACGTACGGAATTCGTAGGGAGTTGGGCACTCCAGCGCTTAGATACACTGTCTGAGCGTTTAAGCATGGCACTCTGGACGAACCCACCGAGGCCCTTGGTTGGTGATGAAGGTCTATCGGAGGCCAAACGTCCCTGCGTAGGTGACATTGTTAAGTGGTCACCTGTCTGCTGTTCTTCATATATCGATGATGCACGTTCGTGCCTCCGAGGGCTAGTCAACGGCACTGGAGAGCCCAGTCCTGCTGTCGTCGCAGAAGACACGCTCGAGTATCTGTTCCCAATGCTACTGCCGCCATATACAGAGCTTGTCCTCGATGGTGAGCGCGGTCTCTCTTCACCCAGCTCAGAGGCCGGACGCGTACCGAGATCACTGACGGCTTCCCGGCTGAGTCCCGGCAATTTCACATTCGATCGACTTGTAGAAGCTTCGGAAAAGGAAGAATTATGAGCTCTTCTATACGCACGCGAGCCTTCTCCTCTGTCACTAGTCTGCTTAAAAAAGGCCGGGTCCTTCGACCCCAGGGATTGAGCAATCTGTGTGCGAGACACTGCAGCGTCGTCCTCCTCCTTTCCCTCAGGGCCACCCGTAGCTCTGGTATCGGCAGCAGCTTTCTCTTCCTCTTCTTGTATGGCCGGCTTTAAAGTGACAGGACTCGGCGAGCTCTGGTCTCGCGACATGGGACGTTGTTTCCAGGACAATGGCCGGCCTCCTAGAGGAGAAGACTTCATGGTATCCGGAGAGGGCTGCTTGGGTGGTGTTTCTGACTGGTGCGCCTCGGAATCACGTCTCGGTGGGCCACTATTGTCCCTTGAGGCCGAAGACGACGGTAGCAGGTCGACAGGAGGCTGTATTGAGTGAGAAAGTGGTGTTGATGGCCCGGAGTCCCTCTGTATCAGCTCGTCAAGTTGTTGCTGGAGGGGCGAGTCCTTGGTGGGAGAAATTGATCGGGCGCGCTCTATATCAACAAACAACCAAGGGCCGTAGTCAGTAAACTAGCTTAGGGATGCAGCAGCGATACGGCAATGAACAGGATAGCAGGCCAATGGAGGAGGCAAAAGCAAAAAAGAATGTGTGGTGTGTGTATGTATGTATATGTGTATGCCTGGGGAGTGCAGCAGCAGGCGTACCAGCTCTCCTGGCCTGTCTCTCTCGGCGGCCCTGCAGGATCTCCTCCTCCAATTTTCGCGTGCGCTCTTCGTCTTCCTTGTCCCGCTTGTTCCCCAGCTCTCGGATGCGAACTAGAAAGTCGTTAACGTCTTCCGACCCGTCTGCGTCGTGCGAGGTAGCCATTGTTGTTATTTTATTTGTTTATTTGTTTCCCAACGCCGGACGGACAACAAGAACTAAGCGGGTGACACCGAATACGGATAAACATAAAACAAGCGGGCGGCAATAGTTATATATATATATAATTTATTTATGAAGAATAGAAGAGCTATCGACAGCAGAGGCACCAGGCTCGCAGCGTGTCGGGAGGGGAGGGATCCGGCGACTGTTTGAGGGAGAAATGATGGAATGTAGCAAAAGATGAAACAACCGCCAGAAGCGAATCCAAGCCGATTTGAATGTTTGCGATGCTCATGAAGAAAACAAAAGTCCACCTCATCGAAATAAGTGATTGGCCCCCCTGCTGGCCAGTCTCGTTTCTTTTTCCAGCTTGCCATGGCCAATGATCGGGGGCGAGCTGAGATCTGGTGGGAACCCGAGGAGGTCTCGTATACGCTGGGTTGGGCGGCAGTTCATGAGTTGGGATGGGATGCATGAGGGTTGCTCGAGAGGTCGGGATGCCCTGCCAACCTGTGGATAACCAGTTATCCGCTGGTCAGCCAACAAGCTAGTTAGTTAGTTAGAAGCGAGCGTGACGGTAAATAAACAATTGTAGATCGCCTGTCAGGGCCAGTTCAGTAAAGGAAGAGCCGGTCCTTTGCATCTTGGACGACCCAGGAGAGGCCCTTGGTCAGGTTCAGCCCCGTCACGGCACTGCAAGGCATAATCGTCCACTTGTGCGTCTTGATGGCGTCGAGCTCAAGTCCCTAATTATAACGTATAGCTAATTAGACCCCATAGACGAGGAAAATGGACGGGTGGGAAGAAGTAATTACATTTCGAACTTCTTCCTCGGTCATGCAACCGTCGACATCCGTCTTGTTAAGAAAGACAAGAAGGCTTGCTCCCATCAGCCGCTGTAATATCATTAGCCAAATATTCCATTCTCGCTTTTGAGCAACTGGTTAGTTAGTTAAGGGAGTCTTACCTCTTCCACAAGAAGTCCGGCAAGCTCGCGTCGACAGTCATCGAGTCGGAATCGGTCAGTGGCGTCAACAATCCAAATCAACGTATCCGTCTTTTCAAAGTAATTCCTCCAGTAGGACCGCAGTGTCTTTTGACCACCCACGTCCCCTATAACTACAGTGTCAGACGACCTATTGGTCTGCGTAGCCAGTAATTATAGCTAGTTATGCGGGAAACCCACATATATTCAATTTGTATCTGTTGTATGGAGTCAGCATTGCTCGGAACTTGAAAATCCACCACCACGGACACTCACCCCTCAAAGTCGATGGACTTGATGATAAACCCCAGCGTAGGGCTCACTGTAGTGATATCTTCTCCCATGATACTCTTCACTATCGTTGTCTTGCCGGCATTGTCAAGTCCGCTGGGTGTTCTGGGTCAGTAAATGGGCATCTCAACAGCTGGCTCGATCTTACAGCATCAAGACTCTCATCTCTTTATCCTTCAGCCTGGCCTTCCTCAGGACAGACAGCATTTCTCTCCTTTCTCCTTCTCCCTTTTCTATAAGAGGTAGTAAATGGTAGGTGGTAAGTGGTAGGTGGTTGGCTGTAGTTTGGTTGCTTTATGTGCAAAGTTAGTATTTTATTTGTCTATCCTTTTAGTCAGTCTCCAGAATCTGGATAGTCCTATAGCGTAAAGTTATAATCATAAAATATGAATGTCTGCCTGTCAAAATTAACTTAACACATAGACCTGGGTGTGGCTCTGAGCATGATCAAAGTGAACTATGGTTGTTGGAATAAAGATATAAAAGTTCTACTAGACTAGCCGCTAACTACGCGTTTTTCTTCTGCTCCTGGATCTAGATATAAAAACAACAACATCACGTCCTCTCGGCGAAAGTGCAGACCCCCATCAGGCAAGTCAAGCAAAGAACGCAGAAACGCAGAACCCTTCCCAAGTTAATAGAGTATTATCTCTAGCTCCTTCATAGTCTCCTAGGCTGTTAGGAAGGGTTTCTAGCTCTCTCGCCCCTGAGGAAGCTGAGAAAGCTCGCGTTGACCCTGCATTTCTTCCTCCTTTGGTTCCCCTAGCTGACCTGATATCTAGATAGGAACGCTCCGGAACAGTCACAATGGCAGAGTCCAGTCAGCAGGGTCAGGAGAATGGCCAGGAGCGAATCAGCGGCGTTGAGCAGTGGGGTGATTATATTGCTGCCATGAATGCTTTCAAAGCCATTGCGAGTAATATTCACAGGCCACCAGACAAGTCAAAGGCCCTCGCACCAGCTACCAACGCACCAGTTCCTCGCCCCGGCAAACTTGCTGTTCCAGCCCTAGCTCCAACTGACGCTCCGGTTCGGACTTTAAGTGCCCCGGCGGAGGCAGAACCTTCACTTCACGTTTTGTCAAACGCGAGTAGAGCCGTTACCACTAGCAACGAAGCAGTCAGTGATCAAGAAGCATCTGGCGCGTCTAGTTTAGCTGCCATCAGTCCTTCTGAGGGTATGACGCCACGTCTATCTTCTGTTGCAACCGCAAACGATACTTCTTCCCTGAAGATGGAGGGAGAGCGAGCTGAAGCAAGCCAAACACCAGCCGGTGATAGCAACAAGGCACAGCATTCTCAGTTGACCGGTAAGTACTTGCTCTGGAACACATACATGCTTTGTGAGCCTCAACTGAAATCTCACTATAATCTAGCAGGGGGCTCTGATGGTTCAGATGAGGTCGTGTTTCGACAGGACGAACTGCGAATGGTCGGGCCCAACATCCCATACGGCTTTCGTAAAAACGAAACTCTGAAGGCTCCCAAGTCTGTGGGCCAGATCAAGATGAACTATCCTCAGGAGCAGGAGAACAATGATAACCATCCTCCTCATAGACGCCGTCCTAGCCGTGGACGTAACTATAGGAAGCACAACGCTCCGGCAAGGTCAATCCATAAGCAAGGTTCGGAAACTAATGGCGTTGTTTTGAAGGCCCCGGTCACCGCCATCGACCGTATCAAGGAGGCTGCGAAGGCGGAGTTGCTTGAATTCCAGAAAAAGGAAATGGAGCGATACGGAAAGAAAGTTATGGGACTCTTGCCAGAAGAGTCTCCAGAATCCATCGCGCTGAGTCTCGCCCGCCAAGGCCCTGGGGTAGACCCAGATTCCATCTTTTGTAAACAGCATCCGTTATACCTCTTGACCGATTTGGCAGAGAGCCTCAAGACCCAGACAGACGAGGCTCAGGGTAGGCTTGAAAGAGGAGATGCTCGTTCAATTGATGACGATCAGCAATCTGGCCCCGCTATGAATGAATGGGCCCTTGGAAATACAGCTAGCGCCGTTGCAGTGGACTGGCAATATCGTCCATGGGAAAAATACGGCGACGAGTTCTTTGCTCAGAAATTCCGTAATTGGTTGGACAAGACTATGAGAGTTGGTTTCATCGTGGACATGACCCAGGAAGAATTTAGGAACGGAGAATATCATGCTAACCTTGATACCGGGATGGGCCCTTCAACATTTGTCTGCCCTGAAACTCTGAGAGATATCTCCGACCCTGAGACCTTGAAGCACGCTCACGAGACGGCAATTGGTTATGTTCATAACTGGAATCTCAGAATCCGTCAAGAGGAAGAGCGCAAAGAAGCAGAGCAGCAGCAAAGAAAACTCCTGGCCATTATGCCAAAGTCAGACTCTGCTTTCAACGAACCGAAGTCATTGGAGCCGAAGCTCAACATGTATATCCGTCCAGTCGAGCCAAAGGATATCATTGCCCTTGTCGAGCTTTTCAACTGGTACGTCAAAAACACGGTACGTCGAGCTGATACGGAAGAGATATCCTTTGATGAAATGAGAGAACACGTCGAGGAACTTCAGCGCGACAACTACCCTTTCATTGTTGCTGTGCAGAGACATCCTCGAGCCTGGCATGCCATGAACCACGAAGCGGAAATGTTGTACGGTTTCTGCTGCATCAGCGACTTTACCGGGCCTCTCTCTACCCAGCGATTTTCCTATGACTTGGAGGTGTTCGTGCACCCAAAAAACTTCAAGCAAGGAGTCGCAAGTTGTCTCCTTGACAAGATGCTCGAGATCTGTGATCCTAAATATAGCGCTCGAGGAGGGTACATCTTTGACTGTTCCTCTCGAGGTAAGGATGTATACACTTGTGGGCTGTCTCGTCCGGCTATGAGGCTCTGCGCAGTCGTCCATCACTCAGACGAGGAGTTTGCAGAGTATACTTGGATCAAGGAATGGCTCGGCAAGAAGTTCGGTTTCGAAGAACAGGGCTACCTTGGAGGATTCGGTGTCAGCAAGAAAGCCCTGTAAGTAACCATGATATCGCCATTGAGACTTTTGCTAACGGTACTTCATTAGCGTCAACGCTGGTTACATGGTGTACAGCACTGGCATCGACATCCCAGAGAGCGAATAGACGGCATTTCACCATTCCGATAAGGGTAATATCAAGACAAATCTAAGCCTTGGGTTTAATTTACTTGGTATTCCCATGTCAATGCTAATGACATGCTCAGTGCACTATCTCGATCAATTCATGGATTTCTGGTATCAAAGGGGATTCTAGCGTCACCAGTGGGTTTAGTATATCAATAGCCATAGCCATGTCGTATTTCACGGAGGACCGACGGGTTTGAAACGTGTCTATGGGCTTTGATGTATCTACATGCTTTTTCTTTTCGTTTCGGTTGTTCTCTCGACGTTGTCTTTTGGCGGTTGGATTTAGGTTGATGACTAATCATTTCAAGTCTCACCGCTTTCAAAGACATCGTGGCAGAAAAAAAGTAAAAAAGAAAAAAAAAACTTTGGGTTCAATTTTATATCAAGAAAATATTTCAGTTGCTCTTAATTGTATTAGAGAATAGCTGCACTGGTCTCCCGGCCCTGGAACGTGCAATTGGCTCATGGGCGCGAGATACAACTTAAGTCTCCCCCAAATATCCTACAATTGAAGATAACCCGAACGACATGGCGCGACTCGATCCTGAAGACGACTTCGTCTTCACACTGTCCGACGAGGAGGCCCCAAACGTCGACTCGGATGCCGAAATCGTTGTCAATAATAAGGGAAAAGTTGCAGGTACTAAACGAAGGAGAGACGAACCTGAAAACTCCCAAGCTGAACAGAGTACAAACTCGAAGAAGCAGAAGAAGCAGAAAAAAGGTGGAATAAATGCTACCAATAGCAATAAAACAGACAAGGGTACCAATGATGATGCGGAAGAAGAGGACGAATTCGGCGAAGACGAAAATGGTGTTTTGAATCCTGATTTCGAGTTCGACGTTGGCGGGGTTGCGAATGGTGGATTGGTGGAAGACTTTGATGGATGGGGAGATGAAGGAAGAAACAAGACCAAAGTAACAGAGAAGAAAGGAGTCGACATCGATGATATCCTTGATCGAAGGAGACAAAAGAAACTCGAAAAGGAAGAGCGTGAGAGAAAGAAAGCTGAAAAGAGAGCTGCTGAGGAGCATGAAGATATGGATAACGATGAAGCAGAGGCGGAAGATAACGATATGCAGGTGGACCTTGATGATGACGAACTTCTTGCTCCTGATGCGTTTGGAATGGGCGCTCAGGGCGCCTCAGAAAGTGGGGCGGAAGGTGAGGAAGCTGAGTCTGATGAAGATGGAGAAGAAAGCAATCCTGAAGATCAAGAGGAGGGCGGGGATGATGATGAAGATGATGATGATACCAACTCTGTGGCTTCGGCAGTACCACATCCAGATGACCTTGCGTCCGACGAAGATGGTTCAGGCAGCGAAAGTGAAGACGATGACGAGATCCGCAAGCAAAATGAGTTCTTTGCTCCCGAGGAAGGAATGACTGAATCCAAGTCCACTTCTGGAGCGCCTGCTTCATTCCAGAATCTTTCTCTGTCTCGTCCCATCCTCCGAGGCCTCGCATCTGTAGGATTCTCAACTCCTACACCTATTCAGAGAAAAACGATACCGGTTGCCTTACTTGGCAAGGACGTGGTTGGTGGTGCTGTGACTGGCTCGGGTAAAACTGGCGCTTTCATTGTTCCTATTCTTGAACGTTTACTCTACAGACCGAGAAAGGTCCCAACAAGCCGAGTTGCTATTCTAATGCCGACACGAGAACTGGCTGTGCAGTGTTATAACGTTGCGACAAAACTGGCTACGTTCACTGATATCACTTTTTGTCAGCTGGTAGGTGGTTTCAGTCTGCGAGAACAAGAGAATATCCTGAAGAAGCGTCCTGATGTCATCATCGCTACTCCCGGTCGATTCATTGACCATATGAGGAATTCAGCAAGTTTCACGGTAGATACCTTGGAAATATTGGTTCTTGATGAAGCGGATCGCATGCTAGAAGATGGATTTGCGGAGGAATTGAATGAGATTTTGACCACGATACCAAAGTCTAGGCAGACGATGCTGTTCTCTGCCACCATGACTAACTCTGTCGATAAACTCATTCGTGTTGGCCTTAACAAACCTGTTCGATTAATGGTTGACTCAAAGAAACAGACCGTGGGCACCCTTGTTCAGGAGTTTGTAAGATTAAGACCTGGAAGAGAGGATAAACGATTGGGCTATCTCATGTTCTTGTGCAAAACTGTTTATACAAACAGGGTTATTGTATTCTTCCGCCAAAAGAAAGAAGCGCATAGGGTTCGAATCGTTTTCGGGCTGATGGGCTTGAAGGCGGCTGAACTTCATGGAAGCATGAGCCAAGAGCAGGTAAGTCCTCTATTTATATTCTAACAGTAATAGGCTATTCAAATACTGACGTCTTATTTTGCAGAGAATTAAAAGTGTGGAAGACTTTAGAGATGCCAAAGTATCATACCTCCTAGCGACAGATCTTGCATCTCGTGGTCTTGATATCAAGGGCGTTGAGACCGTCATCAACTACGAAGCACCTCAATCACACGAAATCTATCTACACAGAGTCGGGCGTACTGCCCGTGCTGGCCGGAGCGGTCGCGCATGTACTATCGCTGCGGAACCTGACAGAAAGGTGGTCAAAGAAGCCGTTAAAGCAGGGCGTGCACAAGGCGCAAAAATAGTGAGCCGAGTAATAGAGCCAGCCGTTGCTGACAAATGGGCGGAACAAGTCGACGACCTGGCCACAGAAGTTGAAGAAGTTCTCCAAGAAGAGAAGGAGGAGAAGCAGCTTGCACAGGCAGAGATGCAGGTCACTCGTGGGAAAAACCTGATCGACCACCAGGAGGAGATCATGTCCAGGCCCAAGCGCACGTGGTTTGAGTCGGAGAAGGACAAGCGAGCATCAAAAAAGCGAGGTCTGATGGAGCTCAATGGACCGGACTCTGTGAAGAAGGGAAAGAAAAAACTCAGCGGCAAGGATAAGAAGAAGCTGGATGATACACGGATGCGAGAGGAGGGCCGTGTATGGAAGAAGGGCAAGGCTGAGCGAGAAGCTAAACCCGGCAGCCAAAATAAGGGTAAAAAGAAGAAGAATAGTGGCAAAGCAGGGAAGAAGCGCTAGACCTAGACCTCCTTTTGCATAGCCAGATATTCCGGATCCTTAGGCGATAAAAATAGAAGATGCCGCTACTTTAATCCACAACGGGCAACGGGCGTACTCCATGGCTAGCTTAAAGTAGCTACGCTCCATATCGCAAAGATATCGAATAGTGTAGGCATTGATCTCTCCAACGATATCAACGAATAATGGTTAAGCGGAAAATAAGCAGCGGCTAACGCGTCTCATAGGATCATTGCCGCGCGTCAAATGTCCAATGATAATGTACCGATTGGCACTCACATGCTAGTGGCTAAAGACCGATATCGGCGTGAGCTCGGACCGCAGTCGCATGCCTATTTTTGACTCACCGCGTCGAGCACAGCTGGTTACATAATCCGTGGCAGAAAAATGACTTAAATCAGACGAACCTGAAGCTTTTAGTTTCTTGTATGGACTTCTTCTATATTTCTTGTTGTCTTCAGGTTGAGAGCTTCGAGGGTTGCTGTCTGGATACCGTATCACCATCTTTTGTTGGGACACACGACCCTTGTAGTTACTTAGTTCCCTGTCCAATTGCTTCTTCTTCCCTGCAACATCTGATAAGACCTTATCTCTCACCTTTCCGCCAAAGCTGAGCTCCCCCCGGTCACAGCTGAGCATCTTTATCCAAAATGCCGATGTAAGAGAAACTTTGTCCTGTATCATCCCTACACCTATGTGAGATGCTAATTAATTTGTTTGCTTGCACAGGCTCAAGGATCCCTCCAAAAAATACAAAAAATTCCAGCCGATTGACCTGCCAAACCGTCAATGGCCAAGCAAGACAATCGATAAACCGCCGCGATGGCTGGCCACAGATCTTAGAGATGGCAATCAGAGTCTGGTGGACCCAATGGTGAGTATACCATGTCTCCTCGATCACTTGCTGCGTATATTCCCAAAGATATTATGTATTCAAGTGGCTCTGCTAACATCTGACTCATAGAATGGGGAGCAAAAACTACGATTCTTTCGTATGCTAGTGGGCATTGGATATAAGGAGATAGAAGTCTCGTTTCCATCAGCTTCCCAGACCGATTTCGACTTTACACAAGACCTCATCAAAACTCCTGGAACTGTCCCAGATGATGTCTGGCTGCAGGTTCTCTCGCCCTGTCGTGAGGAGTTCATTCGACGCACTGTCGACTCCCTGAAGGGCGCAAAGAAAGCTATTCTCCACATCTACCTAGCCACAAGTTCATGCTTTCGACGCATCATCTTCAACATGACCAAAGAACAGAGTATGGAAATGGCAGTACGGTGTACGAAGTACGCTCGATCTATTACAAAGGATGACCCAGCAACTGCTGGCACAGAATGGCGATTTGAATTTTCCCCTGAGACTTTCTCTGATACCGACCCTGAATTTGCTCTGCAGATATGTGAGGCCGTCAAGGAAGCATGGGGGCCAAGTGAAGAGGCTCCCATTATCTTCAACCTACCAGCTACCGTCGAGATGTCTACCCCTAACGTATACGCTGACCTGATTGAATACTTCTCCACACACATCTCCGAAAGAGAGAAAGTTTGTATTTCCTTGCATCCACACAATGACCGTGGATGTGCTGTTGCTGCAGCAGAGCTGGCCCAGATGGCTGGTGCACAGCGCGTTGAAGGTACCTTGTTTGGAAATGGAGAGAGAACTGGAAATGTTGATCTCGTCACCCTCGCTCTCAACCTGTACACGCAGGGTATCTCACCTGGTGTCGACTTCTCCGACATTCTCTCCATCATTAGAGTGGTAGAAGAATGCAATAAGATCCCGGTTAACGAACGCTGGCCTTACGCCGGAAAACTGGTGTTCTGTGCGTTCAGTGGCAGCCATCAAGATGCTATCAAAAAGGGATTCCAAGCTCGTGCCGTCGCTGGCCTCAAAGACGACGACCCATGGGAGATGCCATACCTGCCTCTCGATCCACAGGATGTTGGTCGAGACTACGAGGCTATCATCCGCGTCAACTCCCAGAGTGGAAAGGGTGGCGTTGCTTGGGTTATTCTCCGCAGTCTGGAAATGGACCTCCCTCGTGGCTTGCAAGTTGCATTCAGCAAGATTGTACAGAAGGATGCAGACCGTCTAAACCGCGAATTGAAGCCCAACGAGATCGTCACTTTGTTCGAAGAGGCTTATCATCTCAAGACAAACCCTCGCTTCAACTTGATAGATTACAATATCACTGCAGATCGGTCTACGTCCCCGGCTCCCCCGGCTCCAGGCAAGGCTGTCAACACTCAGAACTTGAAGAGGCGTTTCACCGGTATCATCGAAATCGATGGCATACAACATGGTATTGTTGGCGTTGGAACTGGTGCTATATCTGCGCTTGCACATGCCTTGAATTCCCTAGGCATCGACCTTGACGTTGTTAACTATACTGAGCACGCTATCGGTCGTACTAGAGATGTCAAGGCCGCGACATATATTGAATGTACTGCCGCAGGCTGCTCTCAGAGCGTCTGGGGTGTCGGTGTCCATCGTGATGTTGTCCAAGCCAGTTTAATCGCCTTGTTGAGCGCCGCTAGCTCGGTAAGTTATCCTCGCCTCTGCCCTATGCAAATTTAGGCAAAGCTAACTATGTCTGTCTAGTTCCTTACCTCTCGAGCAAGCACTCTATTCCGCCCAACTCGTACGCAAAATTTTAGCCAGGCGGACATTGATGCTTTAGAACAGCTCCAAGGGTATATGCCACTTCCAGCTAACGGCTCGGAAAATAAAAAGGTAAATATCAGCGCCTTGGAATCTGCGGCAGAGAATCTGTGAATATAATATTTTCTCCCTCTTGAAACGAACGGCCAATAATGTATGCCTCTCCTTATTTATCTGAAATGGCTATTTTGCCAGTCTTTAATATTTCCCCTCAGGCGTTGGCATATCACCGTGTTCTAGCTTTCACTCCTAGCTGCACAATAATTCTGTCAATCTACAAAAAGTTGCCGATTAGTTTTATCATTTGCGAGGAGTAAGGAATTGAAATAAAATAAAATAAAATAAAATATTTTAATAAGAATCAAATATAAATTATTCGTTGGTTTTTACATAGCGTACATCATGTCATTATGCGCTGGGATGCCGGAGCGTTAAAATGGCCGAAGCGCAAAGGAATTTCTGCCATAGTCCTTGCTATCCAAGCAGCATTCATTACTGGTGCTGAGGGTGAGAAGCACCTGTATCCTCCGTCCAATTATCGATGATATCATAAGCTTCGTCATCATATTGCGTATTGTTATGAGTGCCTCCATTTTCATGGCCGACAATAGCGGGATTAGGGCCATGGAAATTATCTTTTTGAATACTGCTATTTCTCACCGGTAGGGTGTACGTAGTGGGAACTTCTTTTCTCTTCGCCGGAGGTAGTAATTGTGTCTTTTCGAAAATCCCAAAGTCTGGTGCTGTTGAATGCGGTCGGGAAATAGGTTCGTCTCCATTATGAACGCGCAGGCCGCTTCGAGGAGGGGAAGTGCTGTTGTGGCGAGGAACCTCACCGGCAATAGGGGCAACGGCTGGAGAAGCCGTTCTGTTTATGCTGCCACCACTACCATTACCAGCATAGCTTTCAGGGCTTTGGACTCGTTGAGCATCCGGATTACCCGCAGGTGAAAACTCCCTTTCTACACCTTCTCCGGTGGGAAGCGTTTGCTCCTCGGCGTGAAGAGGTTGGTGATGTGACACATCATGATTCACCGTGCTGGGATCCTGATAGTGCTCAGCATTGTCTGTGCCTATAAGAGATGGATCAATATAATCCACAATACCTTCAGAAAGAAGGGGGTACTGTTCAGCATGCTCGGCAGGCCCAGTAACGGGTGGCTGTTGCATCTGACCATAGTCTTCTGGTTCGGGATATGGAGAATGGGTTTGTGGCTGAAGGATGCTGGAATCCATGATACTGCCAGCTTTAGAAGATTGGCGTCGTTCTGGCCCTTCGCCGCCCTTCATCTCGTGGCTGCCACCATCGCGGATGTTGAATTGAGCGATTGTTCTTAGTTTCTGCGTAACCCAAGTAGCAAGGATTTTTCCACGTTGTTTTTCGCCCAAGCGAGATCGAGGGAAATGTCCACGAGGGACAAACGCCACAATGTCCGTAACTACTTGGTGCTCATTCAGTACACTGTTCACAATAACAGGCACCATAGAGGCCAAGTAGGCCTTGCGGTTAACTTCTACCAAGGCGACCGTCAAACCGCCTGCTTGGAAGACAGCACTATGAATTTGTTAGAATGTTGCTGCAAGGTCAATTTGCCATATAGTGAATTATGGTACTTACCTCCCGCCCTTGACGATATTTCTATGGCAATTTTCGATAGTAACCTCGATATCGACGGGGAAATGGTTAAGGCCGTTGATTTCGAATGTTTCTCCTATACCACCAAGGACGAATAGAACTTGCATCTCAACAGGCTGTCCACCAGGCCCAATCGGCCTTGTCACAGTATGCAAGAAGCCTAGATCGCCTGTACGGACATAGACGGCATCTGGGTCGCCATCAACAATACGTCCTCGGAACCGCTCTAGATCAAACTCTTGCATAGATCCATAGAAGGCCTTTGCACACGCCTCAGATTGAACCCAAATCTCTCCATATTCCCCAACGTGAGATAGGCAGCAAGTCTCAGGATTCACGATGGCAATCTGTGTGCTAACAGGAACCATACCTGAATCTTGGACGAGGAGGGCATTAGTTGCAGTCTCAGGATCAACGGGGTATATGTATCCTTGTCTGAGATATAGTGTATCAAGCCAAAGCTCAATTGGCTCTATACACATGTAGGACCTCGAAGCTATCATCGGGTTAAGAACGTGTGAATAAATGGTGTTAATGGCAGTTCGATCGAGACCGACAGCCGCAAAATGCAGTCGAACTTTCTGGTCTAAATGGTATAGTCAGTATCCTAGTAATTTGGAGGACGGATATTTCGAAGACATACAAACATCCACCTTTGGCCTTGAGTCAGTTGCCACCATCAAGTTCTTTAGCTCATGAAGTTGGAACCCCTTTGCGGTCATGCTACTCATAGCATAATCCAACATTTGGCCGGTAGCATATGTATCTTTAATCTTATACCTAGCCAAAGTGTGGAATAATGATGACGGGTTGGCAGCAAAATCAACCGGGGATACAAGGTAAGTAGGAGCCCCTAATAAGGACCGTTAATGATGTCACATGCAGTCGAAGATATATACGGACACAACTTACCGACGTAGATTCCCATTAGACACGTATGGATGAATCCGAGACCCATGGTACTTCGAATACTTCCAAGCACAGGACGGGAGCTAGACATTTGGCAAGTCTCTTTCTGGACTTTACACATGCCCATAATTGTGTCATGGCCAATATGTACTGACAATCTTCTTTGATCTGGTGTCCAATACGTCCACACCATTGCTGGCAAGTGAGACTTTATAACTGCTTCACTTAGAGTGAAGCCCAGATGCCGGCATCCATGAGATTGTTTGGGCGGTTTTGCGGTGTTATAGGTCTGAGGCACATTGACCCGGAGAACATTTGCTGACTGTTTGATATGTTGGGCAACGACCTTTTGTTTGAGTAAGTCATTCACGTCACTGTTGACAAGTATCACCTTGACGTGGAAGTCCGAAATCAGATGAAGCAAAGCTGGGGCATCCTCAGACAGTCGGTTCTGGTCAATCGGCGCCATTGGTATTATAACCAGGCCAAGGCAGAGACAGGCATGAACAGCATATACGAAGTCTTCGGAGTGGGTATACATCAATATCACATGGTCTCCTTGTCGAAGTTTGACTTTATTCTTCAGATATGCTGCCACAGCCGCGACCTTGGTATCGAATTTCTTCCATGTTATAGCTTTGCCTTCCCGGCCACGACCATCAATAGAGCAGTAGCAAAGCTCCTCTCCTTGCCTGCTGACTCGCCATTGGAGTAGATCAACAATGCTGGCGAAATTGTTTAGGGGGGTAGATGTCCGATCATCCATTATTACATCTCTGATATCAACACCAGAATATTGCTTTTCTTGCATCGCAAGTGCCTCCTGACGAACGGCAGATGATGAAGGAGACCAGATTCCTCCTGCCGGATCAGTACCAATAGGCAGATTGAGTACTGCTCTTTCAACACCAAATTTGACGTGGACACAGGGTAGGGTACCATTGTCGAATTCCCTACGACACAACATATTTCCTATTTCCTGGCGGCCATTTCTAGTCGATCGAGGTAGGGTATTAGGCGCCGTGATCATGATGCAGTAAACCCTCAAATGATGCTCCTGATACAGAACTTCAATGCATCTCTCAGCAAGAGAGTCTAGAAGTAAGGTATCAAGAACACGCGGGGGGCCACCAGAAGTAATGGGCGCGGTAGAGGCCGCGTATGACTCCAAAAGGATGACAGGTAAATGCTCATCATTAACAAACACGTCGAATGCAGAACAGTCGTGGATTTTGGGAACGTTTTTCATGATGCTGAGAATCAAGTGCTGAACGAAGTAATAACGATGCTCGGTGTTTTCAACTCCATGTTCCACCCATTCTACCTTTTGGCGCAATCTATCCTCGTATAAACCAAGAACGAAAACCTGTCCCTCGATAATACATCCAAGTAAGCCCGTTCGTAAGAACTCTGGTTCCACGATTACTGGAGTAGGACTGCCCTCTTGGAACCTAAAGGGACGAGCATGAAAAATAGTTTCAGTGTGTTTTGGTAGTGCCCAGAATCCTCCAGATAATGATGGTGAATCGACCCAGATCTCTCCGATAAGATTTGGTGTGCAAAGAAGTCCGGTTTCCGGGTCGACGATAGCAAGAGTGGCATCGGCAAGGGGGTATCCAAAAGCACCAACTCTTACTGAGTTTGGAGTGGTGTCTGCGAGTTTCCGGGCTTCTTCACCCAACGCGAGGACCACGACATCATTGTTCTTCAATGCTTCTTTGTCCAGTAATACCTCGCTCAGCTCGTTCCTTGGGGATTCTGTTTTTGGAGAAGCCGTAGGAGCTCCACCAATCAAACTGCTTCCAAAAGTAGGTTTTGGTTCGTCAGTTTTTTCCTTTTCTTCAGTCTTGCTGTCCTTGTCTTCCTCTACGGGGTGCATTTCATGCGTCAGGGGGCAGCCCATTCGCTCTTCACCTCCAAGCCAGTCCCGAATAGATATCACCATTCCACCATGCTCTGGTAGACACAGCATAGCAGCGACTAGTTCCCGAGCTCTGGGGTTTCGTAAGGGGCGTAGCCATCTATCGGCCAAGATTTCATGAAACTCACAATCAACCGACAATGCATCTATAAGACAGAGTTTCAAGCTGGAAAAGTTCGGTTCAACGTTTTTCTTGAAGTTTCTCGTCGTCATGGGGTCCTGTTGATAGTTGTACACGGCGCGTTTTAATCCAGTATAATCTGCGGCCAAAAGAGTAGCTCTAAATTTGGTGATCAAACTGGCGTATAGACCAGGAGTTTCGACAGCGTGAGATTCTAGCCATACGGTAGTATGTCCTCCGTATACAGTTAGAAGTACTCCCAGAATCATCCCGATTCCCTGTCTAGGATCAAGGTAGGTCATCAAGATTTCAGCGGGAGATTTTGGGCGGTCAGGGGAAGGTGGGACAGATGCAATGACTGCACTGAATGAGGCCATTTGATGCATGATTGTCCGGTGGCTCAAGACAACGCCTCTGAGGTCACCGGTAGGAGCACGGGAAAACTCAATGTAGGCCAGGTCCGGGACAACGAGTGCAGGAACATCTTCTTTTTTCTTTGGATGATAACTGCCGAATTCATTTGTTTTCCACCACTCCACGCCTCTTGGCCAGTTGAGTTTTTGGGTAGTGATATCTCTCTGGAACGTCTTCAGGTTATTCTCTGTTGTCAAAGCAAGATGAGCTTGTGTCGAGGTGAGGATAACGTTTAGACTCGCATAGTCTTCCAGGTTATTGATGGGGACCGCAACAACACCGGCAATAAAGCATCCCATTAGCGCCACAGCGAACTCGATGAGCTCACTATCCCTATAGACCAGAGCAACCCTATCTCCTCTGTATAGATTGCTTTTGTCTCGTATAACTTGAGCGACCTTCTCCGCTCGGCTACCTACTTTCTCCCAAGTAATTGATGCGATTTCCTTGCCACGCTGATCAAGAACCCAATACGCTGGCTGTTTTGGCAGTGTGCGTGCACGATGTCTGAGAACAGTCGGGATATTATCAAAGCTTGACATTGGTATATTAGGGTTATGTGGGTCTTGAACATCAAATGGGATATCTCGGGGCTCGAGAGGAAGAAGGTGGTTGACAGCAGCTCCACCAGGCATGGCTGACATTGGCATTGGAGCAGGAGGTATGTTCGCGGTAGGAGAAAATGGTTCCATTTGAGAATATCGTTGAAGGTTCTGTCCATAACTATCTCTCCTGGGTTCTTGCTGGTGGCCAGCAAAGTCGGAGAAATAGGCTTGCTGCGAATCGATGGTTGAGTGTCGTGTTGGCGGCTCGATTTCAGGCTGCTGGTTCGGGTTGAATGCATAATTCTGGCTTACCAGCGTCCCCGTTCGGGAAGCTTCATAGCTATCCGTAGGACCTCTTGGAAGGAAAAGCGAGTCATACGAACCCACTGACTGGTTTCGGTTCCCAGTAGGCCCAATGGGAGCTGTAGGTGGTGGTGCAGAAGGTGTAAGGGAGAAGCCAAGTTCCTGTTCTTGAATCCTTGAAAGTTGGCTGCCCAGATAGGGGCCATAATTAGGGTCTGCCCCTGTTGTCTGTTCGCCACTAGAAGGCCCGAGTAGATGCGAAGGTATATGGTGCTCTGGCTGCTGCCGGGTGCTCGGCGGAGAAACGTTTAGAGGAAGCGGTGCATGAGCTCCAGGACCAGCCGGGCGTTCTCCGGATGAGACATTGATGGTCTCAGAGCCGCGCGGTATCTGCTCAAAGCTTAATGGTCTATGCAGGGGTGGGTTTTCCGGCTGGCTAGCGGCAGGCTGTGGCATATATTGCGATAGAAGGAGTGCGCGGCGCTTCTGGTACCTATATCAGAGGTCAATCGTCATTATACAAGGCTTCCGGTACTCATAGTCAACACCACGAGTGGTCCCAGTTAACATAGGTATGGCCGTGGTTATCGAACCCCCGCCGCCGAGCTATCGGGCTATGACAGCCTTGATAAGCTGAGAGCTATGGAACTTACCCCTTCTCCGTAATATCGCCATCCTATATGACGGGTTCAGTCAGTATCCTGCGGCCGTGAAAAGACAGCAAAAGATAGAAAAGAACTGCCATACCTCCAGTTCAGCGTCAAGCTGTCGCAGCGCCGCTTGGAGTTCCGGGTTATCCTCCGCCATGATCTAGGACGAAAGCGATGTGGTGCGCCTCACTCAGGCCACTGCATGACAGGTCTTGCTGGTCCGGAGTAGTGGGAGAAGGACAGCGCAAAGCATAGAAGACCAGCCGACGTCTTAGGGACCTATCCAGCCGCACTCCTCAAGCTGAGATCCTCCTTGTCGTTCTTTTCTCCTCGTCGTCGGCTTCGTTTGCTCTCGCTGAATTTCGACTTTCGCGCTTAGTTTGGGGGGAGGGTCACGGGATCAGGGATAAATATTTATCCGAATAGCTTAGTCATACGTGAGTAAGCTGATGAAAAGCCGAAGCCGTTAAAAAGAAGGAAAGGAAAAGAATATAGAGAAACGCCAGACGTTGAGAAAGCGAGAAAGAGAGAGAAGAAAAAAAAAGGGACATTTAGAGGTGAGAGAAATGGCAGTTGATCAGGTTCCTGGTAGCTATATATCCTCCTCGTGATGGTTTATTTTCACAAGTTCCCGCCTCTGACGATCGATGTCGGCGGTGTCTTCCAGACTGTCAACAGTTGACATGACCAGTGCAGATGACCTCAATACGACAGGCACGTCAACATACAGGTAGAAAGCCTATCCTAACCAGACTGATACAATGAGGGTTACTTTTGGTAATGGCCTGTCTCTCTCATAAGCAGTCAAGTCGAGATTCCATGCAGGGAAACAGGGAGCTGGCTTCTTCCATGAGGGAGATGGCACCGGATCTATGACCTGGAGTCCACAATGAAGACCATGGCATGAGGTAACACCGAAAGCAATTAAGATATTTTGCTACTTAACTTGCTTCTATGATACCTCCGTTTTATAAGGTCCTATCATGTCCCCGCTATGATCACGCCATGGATGGTTTGTGGTTCCTCTAGCTGCCACCATTTATCGCGTCACATTTACAGAGCGAAGCGTACCCGAGACGACCTACCAATGGTATTGGCAGATCACATACGGAGTACTCTGTATATATCTGAGCGGAGTTTTACCAGAGACCTACTACCTTGATTTCCGCGAACTGCTTCAACTGAGGCAAGTAGTATTTTATTAGCTTGCCTCTAGCATGGACCAATAACAGCATCGATATATCAACTTCATGAACCGCTTTAAGTGTCACATTGGATGAATGAGGCCCTTTGGTAACGGAGACAAATGCTCGACGTCTGCCTTTCCATCTACACAGCCATCCTTTGGTCCAAGAGATATCAGCCTGATGGCACAGCCGCCAAGGCAGTCTGCGTATTAATACTACAGTTTATTATGTTTTGTTTCTTTATAAACCTTGAATTAAGGCATGCATTTATACTTCTGTGGCATTTCAGAACGGAAGCTTACATATTCTGGAACGCCCAAGTATTGTTTTCATACTTGAGTTTATCTCCCGCAACGGTGATTATGATGGGACAACAGCCTTGACACGGCCGCATATCCTGATACGTGGAGATATTGACGCTTTGCGCACAATATCTACAATACCTCCTCGGGTTACAGCCCTGCTGTACCCGTAGCGGGTACTCCAGGTAAGAGAGTAATGATACTCTCGTAAGCCGCAGGAGCGCGAATTACGGGGTGCAGGATCGAAAACTGGAGCACAGCCAACACGGCAGAAGAAGCGTGGCTGCCTACCTAGCGTCCGCGCTCTTTAAAGCCAATTTGAAGTAAAGTATGTCGGATCCACAGATCTGCTGGCTTTAATATTTCTCATGCCGCAAAGCACAGCGGCACTAGACGGGCCTTTACGTTACGTACTAACCGTTTAGGGTTGCCTGGAATTCCTTACTTATATATAAGGCCGCTTTTATGTGGTAAACTCAAGGCTGAATGGATATCACAAGGGTTTTGAATAGTGGTTATCCGAGGAGCCCTCAGATATAAAACTCTATGGCTCCCCTCCGTCACAGCCTTTGTTGCTCTCTCGTCCGCGTTACCAAGTGGCTTTCCATCATAAGTCCACCGCTATCATGATGTTCTACCGTCATTTTGCAGCGTTCGCTGCTATTATCACATCTACTTCTGCTTCATGTCTGCATGGAACCAGTTTAGCACCACGTTTGGTCAATCATGATGGCACGGTCCCAATCGCAACCTTCAACTATACTGGCGAAGGCGGTCCCCTGCATTGGGTTGGACTCAATGCTACTGCCAACAGAGAGTGCGGGCATGGCCAAACACAATCCCCTATCGTCATCAACACGGCGATCGTTCCGCAGGTACCCAAAGGTTCAGTTACCATGAGCATTCCCAGTGTCTTATCGGCAGAGTTTGAAAACCTAGGATCCACTGTGGAGGTAATCGTCGGAGGAAAGCTGAAGGCCAACGACAAAGATTATGAGCTGGTACAATTCCATTTCCATACTCCAAGCGAGCACCGAATTGACGAGGAGTACTCCCCAATGGAGGTTCACTTCGTGTTCCAAACTTCAGGTAAGTTCATTAAGTTTATCCAATATATACCTTAACCCTATTTCTCATCTCGAACCTCTCCCCTGAACATCCGAGCCCCCCCAGTCTATATCCCCCCTTTTATATAAGTCCACCGGCTAACACGGATGTGATATGCTGTTCAGATAAATCGATTGCTGTGGTTGCGTTCCTCGTGGAGTTGTCCCCGTATGGCCGTTCTACTCCACTTCTGACTCAGGTGTTTGCACATCTGCATCGGATCACAACCCCTGGCACAGTCACAAAGACAAAGCGACTTGATTTCACAAAGCTCCTCAAGCATCTTCACGCCCATGATATCTACACGTATACCGGATCGCTCACGACTCCTCCATGCAGCGAGAAGGTATCTTGGTATCTCAGTGCTGCTCCGCTCACTATTAGTGTATCGTCATTCAACGCCCTCAAGAAGATTGTCAAGGTCAATGCTCGTTACACTCAAAACTCACCCGGTCTAAAAAACCTGATGGAAATCGCAGCGCTGGACGTGGGATGCCCCAGCAGCAGGCAATAATCAGGCCATTAGGGGCGTGTCTTAACTTCGGGTTCAGGCGCTCTCCGAGACGGGATGTACGGCCACGAATAGGATGCGGGCCGTCTCTGTTCGGGGCTTGCAGGATTATACTCTACTGGATTCACATGCAATACTTCGCTTACATTTTTGCTTCGCTGGCCTTTTTGCTTTGGTGGCTCCGCGGATTTGACCTAGATATTATTCAAGTATATAACGCGGCATAAATTACTGTAATTATAATCTTACTTTTATGTTTCCAACGATGCTTGCTTGCTCGTGCGTTCAGGGCGCTCCTAAATTAATATTTGCCCAGGGTTGGAGAAGAATCAACTTATTATTCCAAAACCTCTATGAACAGCAAACATCAACCTTCATTCCGGCAGCCGATATTATCTACCATGCCGTACTCCGTATCTTCCGCCCAAGCCCATCGTTCGCGCGGAGGGAAACAAAACTATAACTATATTCACTGCCACTTCGCCACCCTTGCTACGCCTATCCACGGATTCGATAGTCTCTTCTTTCAAGCCAAACCTTCTTCTGAACCATCTCTCCGTCTAGCTGAACTTTTCCGGTCTCAAGGGGTGTTTTAACGAGTCAACATCCACCGGGATACGCATGATTCCCCTGTTTCAAGCCAGCAGCTAGTCACAAATCTGCGTCCCAAAATAATAGGGGCTGGTACCGGCCAACGTGCCGAGCATGCATCTAAGGATTAGTTACAGTAGTTGGTGAACCATCATGACCATAGCGAGGTTAACGCTGCCGAGCCGTCAAAAGCAAACGCCTCCTCGCCAGATATCTTGACTTCCAGCACAGCTTCGAGGCTGAAAAGCTTCGATAAAGCTTTAATTGGCCGCTTTGCTAGCCTCGCACTCATGCTCAACCTGAGTCTCTCGAGTGGATGGATGTAGGGCTGACTCGATTTCAAACAGGCCTTATACATACTCCTGTGTTTTGCCCCAGGGCTAAGCCTGCCTGCTCCCTCGTGTCTAATCAGCGGCTACGCCAGTTTAGCATCTGCAAGGCTGAGAAACATCTCTCGGAACGGTCGAGAGACGAGACGGCAACCCGTTCGCTGCGGGGAGAATGGATCACAGCATGCTGCACAGCAACATCATGCGTACCCCAGTTGACAGCATTTCCTGGGTCTTATATCTGGTGGAGACGGAGCGTAGGACATCAGGAAAATTACGCAGTTAGTTGAAGATTGACAGGGCGTACCTGAAGTTTAAAGGCTCTTCTGGCGCTTGCGGATATTAAATAATAATACTATGGCTATGGTAATGATCCTCTGGGCTCTGCCGTCCAAGAAGTATTGTGTGCTGCCGCCGAGATGCCCAGCAACGGAATGACAGTCTAGGCGCAGGCCAAGTCGAATATCCTGTGTGGCTATTCGTGTAAAATCTCCGTAAACAGAATGCCATGCATGTTCCCTCCCGGCGACATGGCATGGCTCGCACGTCCGGAAGCGATATTTCAGGTGTCAATGCATACCCAATTGCCCTGAGCTTGGAGATACCTTGAATGCACAGATGGGAATTCGAAAGTCCTTCAACAATATTATTATTATTATCATACTAAAAATTCACTGCATCCCTAACGCTGACCTGCATACCTTAGAGACGCAGGTTATTCATAAAATACATGCTGACAACATAGTCAATGTACATAGTGTATAAAGAAAACTGCCCAGCTACGGCTGATAGAGAGGTAACATTAAAAGGGGTTAAACTCCGCCCATCCGGACCTCCCTTGCCCGCCGCAAGTATTCTTCATCGACGTCTTCTCTCCTTTTCAGAAAATCGGCATCTTCAAAATCGCCACCACCACCATTATTGAAATTGAATGCGAGGTCCCAGTTCTCCTGTTCTGATCTTCCCTTCAGTAATGATGAGGAAGGAGAGGATGCCTTCGATCTCAAGGTTCGTTGTCTCCCACTCCTAGGCAATAGAATGGGTCGAGAATGTGAAGGGTGAATGCGTGAGGGAAAGGAATCCTGACCATCGAAATCCTCGTCATCTTCTTCAATTTCGAATCCACGTTTATACGAATTAGGTCTTGGAATCGATGAGGAGGATTCAAATGATTGGGTGGACTCCTGGCTGCTAAACGGAAGAGATTCCTCGTCCAGCTGTCTTGCAGCTGTCATTGGCTCAGTCACAGCTGCTGAAGGCTGAGGGAACGATTGTACTCCATAATTCCCAACCTTGAACGCTCCGCTGAAGGGGATAAGTTCGGTATATGCAGGGGATATTGAGCTGTCTGTATAATGTTCGTCCCGGGGTGTAGTCTTGGATTGGTGATTGTTGGCCTTGGCTATGAGTTTCGTTCGGTATCCTTCCGGCACAGCTTTTCGAACTCGCATGCCAACAGCAAGGAGAGACGACTGTATCGTGGGAGGTAGGCTTGGGTGCGCCGAGTGTGTGGGTGCGTTGTAGTTGAAATGCGACGAGGGTTCGCTTTCTGTTTGCTGTGAAGGGGAAGGAGAAAAGTACTGCGTAATAGGGACCTGGAATCTTCGTTTCTTTGACGAGGCAGATACGGCGGTTCCTGGAGCCATGGCGCAGGGCGATGTGTCTTGGATTTCGAGTTGCAGGGTGGCCTATGCAGACTGGATATTACCGCAACTCTGATTTTGATAATAATCACTTCTGACAAGAGGAGCGGTGAGCTGATATAACCGTTCAGATAGCAGTGGTAGCAATGACGGCAGTGGTGGCGGGAGAAGATGTCGACGATAAGGAGAAAATCGCCGTCTGCGTCTCTCTTTCTCCAAAGTCACAAAAGACGGAGGTTGGGAGAAACTCTAAAAACGCGAGACGCGCCAAAGCCGCGGAGCGCGCTTCTTAGGCGCCAATTTAGCCTCTTCTGGAGGACGCGACACTGGGACGTGTTGAACGGTGATAGACGGCGGTTATCCATTATATACAGAGTGAAGATTTGAATAGATGAAGGGCAGAGAAAAGAGACGTCTTATGTATTAACCAATCTACAGTATATATGGCCAGGGGGTATCTATCCCTGGTTTCCTCGCTTCCCTCCCCGCTTGTTCCGCTCATGATGCGCCCTCAGCGTCGCCCGGGTCTCAACAAGGCTTCGCTTCCCCTTTGCCTTCGCCTTGCCCAGCGTCATCATGAAGTTCTTCTTCCTGGCCTTCTCCTTGTTCGTTGAGCTCTTGCCCAGCTTCTCCTTGGTTTCCTTTTTGCGAGCGAGCTTGCTCTTGAACTCAGAACGGTCTGTCTTGGTCTCGTTGACGTGCGCAATCTTCTCCTCTCTGGTCTGCTTCCCAGCCGAGAGAGCAGCGAGGCCTTCGATCTCTGCAGCAGTCAGAGGATCATCAGCATGTCGGTTCGCAGCAGCTTGCTGTAGCAACCTCTTGCGCTTGTTCTCAGGGAGCAAGGCGTTGACACTGGCAGCGGCCCGTAGTTCTGCAAGTTTGGCCAGGTCAGCAGGCGTGAGAATGCGGGTTGTTGCGAGACGTGATATCTTCTTTGCCTCAGACTCTTCCGTTTTCTTATCATCGCCAGCTTTAGTAGCATCTTCGTCTGTTTTGGCCTTCTTGGCGGTTGGTTCATCGTCTTCAGAGTCACTAAACACAATATCAACATCACTTTGGACGTCAATCCACCCGCCAGAGTCGTCGCTGTCATCCTCCTCCATGTTCCATGCCGCCCAGTCATTTTCATTCTCCTCGTCTTCATCGGACTCCCCGTCAGATGGAAGGCCATTCTCCCTCCTGTTCTTTCTTCTTTCTTCCTCCTTCCACTTTTCAAGCAGCTCGAGGCCTTCAATTCCACCGATTTCCTCTTCTCCATATCGTTGTGACTTTTTCTCTCCAACCTTCAATCCCATAGCTGCGTCTTTGCCTCGATCCCTCCTCTTCAGCTTTTCTGCGCCGACTTCTCGGTATAAGCTCAAAAGACCCTTAGCTGCCATCATGACGCCCTTGTCCTTACTCTTCCTATACATCACAAGGTCTTGTAACAGGGTATCATTCATAGCCAGTGGCTGACGAACACATATCTCTCTGATGGCATTGAGACCTGCTGATGCAACTTCCGCGGCAGAACCTTCAGAGACGAATTCGTTTGCAATCTTCTGAATCAAAGGTTCTAAGGTATCTGGAGGAACAAGCGAGTGGCATGATTGAGCTAGTGATGCTAGGAAAGAGGTGACGGACGGCTGTTTTGGAGTGAGGTATTTCAGGAAGTAGGAGTAGAGCTGGATGATGGTGAGTTTGTGTAAGCCAACTAGTCGAGAAACTAGCTGTAGCACCAATAGCCTCTGTTCAAGATTCAATTTCGCTTTGGTGTTTTGTAGATGCTTCTGAAATAAGTTCTCTGCAAAACCTTGGGGGTCATGTAGAAGGTGTAAGGCCGAAAAATTCAAGGGGTGAGGAGCGTTCTTTTTCTTCTCCTTCTTCTTCACTATTGCCTTCGCCTTTTCAATGGCTTTTGCTCTTTTCTTCGACCCCTTGTTGATGGTAGCTTGATGTTTGACCTTGCCAACGTCTATGACATCGTCATCACTGCTCTCATCCTCAAGTTCTTCTCTCTCTTTATCACCACCCAGGAAGAACCGGACACCACCAATAATAACCTTTTCATTATCAGCCAGGGCAGCTTCTTTCATGATTTCCACCGCTTTTGATTCGGTCCATATCTGGCGTTTCCATAGCTCGCGAGTAATCTTTACCGACCAGAGAGCCTTGCTTGAAGATCGGTCAGCAACAACCAGGTTGAACAGCACAGTTTGGATGGTTCTATTTAGTTTGTGATTCGTAGTCTTCGCATTAGCTGACCGTAAGTCTGAAACTATTTTTTGGAATAGGAATGCTCGGAGTGTTTTGCTCGGTGTCGACACTAGAATAGGGAATAATGTCTGGAGAAGGCTGTATATCAACGTAAGTATATGTCTAGAGCGAACGAGACACAGGCTGTACCCTTACGTCGAGGAATCAATTATATCTTTCCGCTTTAATAATACCAGGCTGCCCACGATTTTTTCCCGTAAATCTGGACTTAGCACCGCGTGGTGAAGCGAAATCATCTCAATCAGCTCTTGCGGAAAATCTTTCGTTATTTCTGGATAGCATTCTGCAACATGCGCCACAAAATCAATCAGATCTATCAAGGATATTATTCCGGTGTCGGTAGCAGCTGAAGGAGCAGCCATGAATATCCCGCGGTGGTTTTCATATTGAAGGTGCTGGCTTCTGAAGTCTTCGACATAGGATCTGTTGCGCAAGAGAAATGGTTAGCGATGAATATTCGCTGACCACAGGTCCCAGTATATTGGATATATATTAAACTGTGTAGCAAGAGATGTAACGTACTTTGGGTCTCGTCGAATTTTGTACTGTAGATTTGTTCTTTTGGATATGAAGAGTTAGCTGCCTGTATACGAAAGAAGCGGCAGGATCAAACCACGAAACGAGAGGGGACCGGCATCACTAACAGGTCAGCATCGACCTTCTCCAATGCGCCTAACTTGCGCTTCCCCATTATGCTCCAGTTAATTAAACGAAGGTGTTGGTCCGGTTGGTGTAATTGAGAAATTTGAAGGCGCAAAGATAAAAAAAAGTTAAGTTACTATCTTATCAAATTTTCACGATACACTAACTTTTGGACTGCCTCGGGGTCCCAGACAGCCAAATTTTTCGTACACTCCCTGCTGTGCTAAGTAGTGCATATACTGAGAGCGATGGCAACCGCAGTTTAATAGAAATATAGCTGCTAAAAGATTCCTTTACATTTCAAGGTGAGTCAAGTTCGGATCAGCCGAGGCACGAATACTACAATCCCTTGTCAATAATGATCGTACAGATTCAATGAATTAATGGATCGTTGTCGAAATGTAGATCATAATAGTTTGCATTGCGGCTACATTAGAAGAAAGGTCATCCATCTTGGATTTTTCTTGTTCCCTTTAACACCGTATGGTTCCCGTGGCCCAAATTTCACACACAAAATGAAGAGCCGAATCCATACAGAAGTAAAGGACAATTTCGTCCTCGCCTCACATACACACCCATGCGCAATACGTCAGGGAAAAAAAACGCAATAACCCCCAAATGGCAAATGTGTATTCCTTGCATTTTGATTTTTTATCGGTTACTCTTGGCGACACGCTCCAACTCGTCCTTCTTCTTGATGGCGTAAGAGTTTGAAGAGCCCTTGGCGGCGTTGATAAGCTCGTCAGCGAGACATTCAGAGATGGTCTTGATGTTGCGGAAAGAGGCTTCACGAGCACCAATGGTGATGAGAGCAATGGCCTGGTTGACACGGCGGAGAGGGGAGACATCAACAGCCTGGCGACGGACGGTACCAGCAGAACCAATTCGGGTACTGTCTTCTCGGGGACCGCAGTTGGAGATAGCATCGACGGTGATCTGGATAGGGTTCTGGTCGGTCATGATGTGAATCTGAATAAATTAACGTTAGCCCGGTCGTTGATCTCGCTAAACTTGATCTCTAGTAATATTTCTGAGCATTGAAGATAGTTTCACGTACGATCTCGAAGGCGTGAGCAACAATTCGGACGGCCATGACCTTCTTTCCGTTGTTTCGGCCGTTCATCATGAGCGAGTTGGTGAGACGCTCAATGATGGGGCATTGGGCTTTCCGGAATCGCTTAGCAGCATATCGGCCAGCGGAGTGAGGAACGTAGACAGGTTGTCGGATCTGGATGTAATCGCTATATGCGCATGTCAGCTTCCAGTTGCGCTCAGTTTAACAGTCCTTTTCCTTGTTCAATCCAATGCTTTGTATATGTTCTTCGTTTCATTCCAGGGGGGAGGAACCGATATCGCGCAGTGAAGAGCCTGCAAAGAAGACGGAAAGACGTACGTCAAAGAGATGTCTCGGACCTGGATGTCCTCATAGCTCCATTTGTTGAAGAGCTTGATGTTGCCCATCTCGGCGGTGACATCCTTGGGCAGCACATCGTAGGCGCCGGTTTCGACCTCAACTTCCCCGTCAGACATGTTGGAAGCCGTTTAACCGTGAGTCGACGAGTCGATATACGTGGACGCAAGGGCGTTATGGTGGTGGTCGGCGATTTCGTCCAAGTCGTGCTGCTGGTTTCTTCTTCAAGGGAGAGAGGAAGAGACTTGAAGTTGAAGATTCAACTTTCGACTTTCGCTTAGCGACTTTTTTTTCTTGTTGCGTCTTTGTGGGTTGCGCTTTAGGGCTGAGCGCTGATTGGCCAACAGACATTCAGCTTAGTCATTGGTAAACGAATCACGTGAAAACGTGGAATCCATGGATCTGTATTACTCATACATTACTCATCGTGAGTTTGTCATCAAACCATTCACGTGACTGTAATGGACTCTTGGAACCCAAAAAGGAAATTCACGACGACGGTGAGGACGACGACGAGGTGAAAGACGGCGATGGCACAAACCAAAGACGACATCCAAAGGACAACACAGCGCTGAGATTTTGTCTATCAACTTCTCGTTTTTGCAAATGAAACACCCAGGTCCTACCAATGGTTGGCCAACACACTGCTCTGCCTCGAAGAGCTGATCCTGCGGGTTCCTGGCATGAATATCAGCAGCGTGGAGCTCGCTGATGGACACCTCCAGAGTATACAGAGAGACCTCGATGGAAGCAGAAAAAAACATACAAGTCTATGGTGTCAATGTTGGGCCAGCGACAGTAATCATCATTACCTGATTTCTGTCCTCTGGGGTACTCCGTACTATGGAGTCGGATTCGCCCTTGATTTCACCCGCTGCGGGGCCATCTTCAAACGGCCACATGCAAAGAGTGACAGGCTTTTGCCGCCAACGTACGGAGTCGCCAAAGTACGGAGGACGGAGTACATATCCAACGGTTGCCATGCAGCAACATTTCACGAATTCATAGTCGGAGCAAAAGAGCCCAGACCAAAAAAAAAGGTTGCTGTTGGCCGAATTACCACTGGAGAAGAGATCATCCCAAGCTTTCCCTTCAGCAAGCGCAATTCTCATTGGTGACCAGAGCTCAGACGGCCAGTGCTAGCAAGCGGTTTTCTGACCTTTGTGGCGGCTTGTCTGTCCACTCACCGTTGTCGCGACCTCACCCTTGTTGAGAGTGTATATTGACTCTCGGGCCTTGGCGAAGGCGAGCCCAATCACTCGCACGCTCACAGCTGGACACCATAACTAAGAGAAACCATCGTCAGGCCGCTTTCTTTTCTTTTATCGCCGGTAGTGGAACGGACTAGGCTGCCCTTCTAGTCCGCGCGAGAGCTATTTCTTCTCCATGCGCTCCTGGCGACACACCTCATTTTCATCCCAACTTCAATCATCTGGCGGTTTGTGGCCAAGTTTTGCGAACTGTAGTTATATAGTTCGTCTATCGTGTGGAACATGAAGCTCCCTGCTGGAATGTAAGTCACTTGCATAAGTTTCTGCATCAACCATGCTCTTCCTCTGCCTTACCCTCGGACTGAATGACTGATCACATTCGTCTTTCGCGTCTTGAGCATTTATTTAAGCTCTCGATTTATACCTCATGTCTAACTCCTCGAGATAATCCATTCTATCTCCGTCTATATAGATTACAAAAATAGGGCTTATCGAGTTTTTCCTACCCGTTCGTATATATATCATAATAAACCAGTGACAATGGCATCCTCGCCGTCTGTTCATTCGAGTCCATCGAAATCTCACAGTCCTTCACAACGCCCATCGCCTCCTCAAGAAGTACCGGAGTCCGACAACCCTCACGGCAATCCGCTGGTATGTTCATGGACATCCAAGGACAAGGAAGAGGATGCTGATGCCGTCCCACTAGGAAGTGGATGATGACCATGATTCGGATTTTCCAGATGACGAGTAAGGAAGGTCCCGATAATATAAGCATTGGCACGTTTATACTGATAATTCTGGCTGTTGTCAATTTAGCAGCGCAAGCGATACAACGTCAATAAAAACGGACATTTGCGCTTATAGATTCGAGAACGGCAGAAGATACCACGCATATAAAGCTGGTGCCTATTGGTATGAGCTGTTAGCAGACCGTATGATGTGGTACATATTCTGATATGTTTTCTTGCAAGGGGACCCAACGATGATCGGCAAAATGAGCAACTCGATATCGCGTACGTCTGTGGGACCTCTTATCACTATCAGCAAATTGATTTACACGCTAACAAATCTCTTAGGCATCATATGTTTTTGCTTTTATTAAACGGGAGACTTCTCCTTGCCCCGATCGACGAGAATATACAGGTATATGTCCCTTAGAGACACAGCTTTGGGTGGCGCAATCATATTAACTATATTTCAGACTGTTCTTGACCTTGGGACCGGCACGGGAATAGTATGTACTGGTTATCTCCTCTGCTTCTGACTCTCTCACTGACTTTTTTATTTGATAGTGGGCCATGTAAGCTCCTTAAAAATGAGTCGCAGCACCATATGAGCGGTTGTCTAATAGGCATACTCAGTGATTTTGCCGACGAATATCCTTCCGCTGAGGTTATCGGACCGACCTATCTCCAATTCAGCCTGCCTTTGTCCCACCAAACCTCCGCTTCGAAATCGATGATGCGAGCGAAGATTGGACATTTCCGGAGGACCACTTCGATTTGATACATATTCGTGCCCTTTATGGCGCGATATCAGACTGGCCAAAACTTTACTCCCAAGCTCTTAAGTACGGTTTTAATTAATCGCAATATATGGACACTATAACTGTGCAACTCTAACGGTCGTACAGGCATCTGAAACCTGGCGCATGGTTTGATCAGATCGAGATGTCAATAGAATTCCGATCAGACGATGGAACCGTTACTGACGACCATGTGCTCGCAGTATGGTCGCGGACGTTTATTGAAGCTGGTGAAAGGATTGGCAAGACCTTCCGTATCGCTGATTTAGCCAAAAAATATATGGATGATGCTGGCTTCGAAAATGTTGTGGAGACGAGGTTCAAACTCCCCGTAGGAGGCTGGGGGAAAGACAAACAGATCAAGCGGCTCGGCCAGTGGAATCTTCTCCATTGCGAAGAGGGCATTGAAGGCTGGGCCATGGCCTTACTTACCAGAGTCATGCAGGTATGTCGTTGTCCAGATTTCTTCTTTTCCCCATCTGCCGCCCCAGGTGTCCAAAATTTTGACTTTCGCCATCTCCTCCAGTGGACTTATGAGGAGGTCCAAATATTTTTAGCTAAAATGCGGGCCGGGCTTCGCGACCCGAAGACCCATGCATACTTCTATGTGTAAGTTCGCTTCCCTGTTTGCCCCAAAACTCTTTTTTCCGCCTTCCCCTCCTATCTTGACCACGATACAGGAGGGATGCGAGTTGTTGCACCGTCGTTGTCAGCGAACCAACGTGCTCACATTTCCGTAGTGTCAGCGTCTACGGCCAAAAGCCCTACTCTGCGCGACCAACCGCTTTATAATCCTTCTTTACACATAAGGTTCGGCATACTTTCTTCTTCTCAACCTGGGAGGTCTTTATCATGGGAGGACACCAACCGACGATCAAGTTATTCTTTCAGCTACAAGTCCCACTTTTGAAGAGTTCGCTCTGCCTTCGAACCCCAGAGAGACCATCTGTACTTACTTTACAGAGTAAAGTCGTTTTCCATAATTCGACATACTCAGCTGTACGTCATCTGTCGTATTATTCGTGAATATAGCAGTAATTTCCTTCGCACGGACGGCTTATTTGAGAACATAAAAGCCAGAACTTAGGCTGACATATACACCCCTAACAGTGCACCAATGCCACAGACCATTAAAGTAGCCCCGAGGCTAACGAATACGGAGTGCTCACAGACGGCGATAAGCAGATCATGAGGATATATAAATCTATGACGTTTATCGAATCCGTCACCTTTTTCTAGATGTCACCTTTTAGCCCGTATTCAAATTGAAAGATGGCATGTGTGGATCCGAAATACGATGTGGAAATCTGTGAAGAATATCAAACTCCAGCGGTGATTGCTAACTTGGGCTAGTAATATGAAGCCCGGCGGCCAATTTCGACGGTTCATCTGTTCACCTGGCGCAAAAATGGCTGAATTGGCGCCTTGAGGGTATGGGCTTGGAACATCTCCCCATTCCCTTCCCCGGCATGCCAACCAACGAGCTTCGCTCCACTGAAGGGTTGTAATTTCAACCCAAACCCTCTCAATCATGCCTTCATCTTTCGCGTCCCGCTCCCTTTTAAGGTTCGATATCATTACTTGTGACAGGGTGGTTGGTTCTTGAAATGTATACGGAAGAGTATAAATTGCGGGCCAGCTTGACAATCTTAGTCTCGTCTTGCTCCCTGACTTATTTAATACTGCATATGTTAATGTTAATGTTTGCACCTGCTGTAAGATGACGGATCTCTCTGCGGTCTCCCAGAGACAGACGATATCATAACGTCGTTGGAGTGAAACCATGGCTGGCTTCACTGGCTATTTACTTGATCCTTCCTCTCTCACCATCCTTGCCACCGTAGCAGGATTGGGCACTATTGTTTGGTTTGCAGCAGTTGTTATATATCGAATCAATTTCCATCCATTGGCACATATTCCTGGCCCATTCCTTGCCCGAGCGACGCACTTATACTCCTTTTATTTCAATGGTATATTGGATGGGAAGCTATACCTTCAAATCGATAAGTTGCATGAAATATATGGTATGATTCGTTCCTGGTATATATACAAATATGAGAAGTCGAAACCGAGCTTACTGGAGTATTATGTAGGCCCTGTGATCCGGATAACTCCTGATGAGATCCATTTGAGCAACCCAGAGAACTATGATAAGATATATCATGTCGGGACCCCATATAACAAGAGTGCCCCTTTTTACGATGCATTCGGCGTGGACAAGGCGACCTTCACAACCGCCGACAATAATGTTCACCGAATGAAGCGAGCAGCCTTCAACCCGTTCTTCTCTCGAAAGCGTGTCCTTGAACTTGAGGGCATCGTTCAATCGAAGGCCAAAACTCTAGTGAGGCGCATATCGACTGCTCTCAAGACCTGTGGGGGAATAGATCTCCATCACGGGTTTCGAGCAATCTCAATCGATGTCATTAGTGACTATGCCTTTGACAATTGCTACAACTTTCTAGAAAAGGAGGACTTCGGCGCGCCGTTTTTCGACATGATCCGAGGTTTTGGCCCGATGTTTTGGTTTTTCCAGCAGTTCCCCGTTTTGCGGCCTATCTTGCTTGGAGTACCGCCATGGGTGGCCCATTTGACGAGCCCATCCTTGACACGCATGTTGCAGTTCCATCAGGTAAGTCTCCCCATGTAGAAACAGTATGGCCATTACGCTGAAACCGGCTTTAGAGCAGCCGAGAACAGGTGGTCAGAGTGAAACGTCAGGTGGAGGCCAACGAGAAGCCCGAGCGGACCACTATTTTTCACCAATTCTTGAACCCGGAGTTCATGAAAGAAATCCCGACAGTTGAACAGCTGAAGGACGAAGCATACATTGTTGTTGCTGCTGCTGCTGACACAACAGGAAATGCCATGACAATAGGACTGTACAATACCGTTTCATCACCGAAAATATACGCAGCAGTAACCGCTGAACTGCGCGAGGCATTCCCTGATCCAAATGGAGATATCGACTTCGTCACCCTGGAGAAATTGCCGTATTTTGTTCGTCATTACCCCTTGTTTTTCTTTTATTTTCGTTTTCGTTCGAGCATCACCGCTGATAACAGGTACCATGAGATATAGACTGGTATAATCAAGGAAGCTCTGCGGTGAGTGTGACCGCTAGTTATATGCACCAAGACAGCAACTAACAGGGTATATCAGCTTATCATTTGGTGTTGCTGGGCGTCTCCCCAGAGTGGTACCAGAATCCGGTGCCGAGTTTGATGGGTATAAAGTACCGGCCGGCGTAAGTACTCCGTCCCCAAACCCCAGACCACCCCGTCCCTCCTAGGGGCAAATGACAGCCAGCGCCCTAACTATTTATCCAGACAACCGTGGGCATGAGTTCATGGACTATGCATCGAAATCAAGACATTTTCCCTGACCCTGACAAATTCGATCCCTCGCGCTGGCTAGATCCGAAAGTCAGCGCCGAGCTTGAAAGGTATCTCGTGGCATTTAGCAAAGGATCCCGCGCCTGCGTTGGCATGCAGTAAGTTTTACCAAAGCCTTTGCGTACTCGTTTTCTTTCCTTCATGCGGCCCACCAGTCTATCTGCAGCGTCCGTCCCCGGCCAATTATATAATGGCTGCCTGGGCTCCGTCTGTGTGCATATACATGGCTAACATTCTCGTTCCTTTTTTTCCTCCTTGCGCCCAAATTCCAGACTTGCTGCCTGTGAGCTTTATGTCACTCTCGGCAGCGTGCTGCGCAACTTTCCAGATTTGACCATCAAGCCGAAGACAAGGGAAGAGCTGCTGTATATGGACTACTTCTCATCCTATCACCCGGAAAAGTACAACAAGTTCTACTTCGAACTCCCGAGCAGCAAGGCGGAAGCATGATCGTTACGCCGCTGCCCATTACTGCCTTGGGTGCTACGGTCTTTCCCCTCAGACACACCCTGGTATTTGTGGCAACGTTGGCGTGAGATAGTACTCGATCAATAACTCTTACGGGGAATGGCAGCGCAGCCCCGTGTCTGGATCACTCGTTTGCTGTTCTGATTTCTTTTTCGTATGTCGTGTAACTGCTGCATTGTATATCAGTTTGGGGGCACCTCAATACCCAATCGTACTCATGCTGTCGAGTCAGTTCATGGGACATGGCGATAATCTTTTTGTTGCGGAAATACAACTCGAAAATATCACCAGCTGGCTACCTATCTTCTCCGTATTCGTATCCACGGCGAAAACCTCATCTTGAGGCGGCCGTGGCAATTGCAGCATCTCCGGTGTCGTAGTCTAATGGTCATGATAACTCGTTGTGGAACACAAGCAAAGCCGAGTTGGTCCCGGTTCGATTCCGGGCGATGCCACATCTTCAAGTAACTATGTATGCCTGCCAGCCTTTGGGTGGACTGGCTCCAGTCTTTTTTTTTTTTCTCTTCATTTTGTTGATGTCAAAGTATGCATATGCAGAATTTGCTGTGTTCTAAACAGACGGTTTTTCGGCGATCTTTTAAGTTTTGTGGCTCCAGCAACTTTTTTAGTTGCTTCTTTGGAATCTTTAGCGCAACGCTGCAATTGACCCCCATCTTATATTGATGGCCGCCATGTCAAGATGATCAGTGAGTGGGTGTGAGGACCAATGAATATGAAAAGTACATCGCCATTGCGCTGGATATTCACAAGTAGAATTGTTGGGATACTAACTATTTACATCCAGGGTAGAGCAAGGAAATTTTCTGCCTATCAGTCAGTTACCCAGACTTCGTTCAAAGTCAGGCAAGGCCCATTTAACCATCCATTCTGATTGTAGCACTTGCAATGCTGTCGGTCGTTCCTCGGGTCGGAATGCTAGCATTTGACGCATTAAATTGAGAAACGCAGTTGTTTCCTCTTCGCTGAATACACCGTTTGGTTGTATCTTTCGTCGATATTTCTGAACTCCTTCCTCAAAAGCCTGGTCCAATGGAGGCCAAACTTCCCTGCCCTGTGTGGGTTTCCCATTCTCGTCGAAGTACTCATGTCGTTCATCCCATCGCTCCCACCATTCCACGGGCATGGGCCCAAGTACTTCGATGTGCTGCTTTGTCACGCTATCTGGTGTTGCGAATTCACAGCTCCAAATAGCTTTCATACCTACTATCTCCCAAATGGCTACAGCCAACCCCCATATGTCAGCTGAGTATGACATTGGGGCATCCGGTTCAAAACGTGCCTCCGGAGGCCTTAGGTGTAGCGGTGTATGGCATTCTTTTCCCAAACGAGGTTCGGACGTAGGAGAATATGCTTCCCCAAAGTCGCTCAGCAGTACATGGGAATCATTTAGCGTAAAATCCTCGGCATACTTGCCGAAACTGATGGGAATCACTGCTTGTGCTGGGGCATTAGGTGGAAGAGGGGCACCATCACTTCTGGTAATCGGTACAGTCTCAGGCTTTCCGTATTCTTCATAAAATTTGTCGACTGAGAGATTGTCAAAACTGGATGGGAGTTTTGCTAGGACGTTTCGCAAATGTATGTCTATAAATTGCTTAGAACGAGGCTATTCAATTGATGATCTCCCAATTACTACATACCTCCATGAACAAAACCTCGTGAGTGGATAGAGGCGACCGATAGTGTAACTGCAGCGGACAATGCTCGCGCTACGTCAATATGGAATAAACGGCTATACGATGCCTCCCGGAGGTTGCATTGGGCAGGGGTCATTGCATAGCATGGATGCGTCCCATTCGGTCCATGTATCTTGAATTCATCAAGAGGTACAGGTATCGAGCCATGAGCGTAGTTTCTGAGTCTGTCTGATAAGCTGGATGATGTAGATTCCGAAGCTGAAGTCGAAAGTTCCCGGAGCACTCTTGTTTCGCGTGGAAGAGAGTCTGCAATCCCAACCTTGAGAGCAACATAGCGCTCTAACAAGCTGTCTTGAGCCAGCCAGATAGTTGCATAGCCCCCAAATCCCAGCTTATCCACAACCCTGTATCTATCATGAAGCACATCTCCGATCATGATGGGGTGATATCCCCCAGGTTGATATTTTCCGAGTGATTCTGCTCCATCAACCCAGTTGTATTCATAACGAGGGGCTTCTACATCCGTTTCACCGGCTGACAGCATCTTGAATGTTGATATAGAGAATGTACGTCTCAAGCGAAAAGAGTTAAAGCGCAAAGAATGGCCAATACGCGCTGGGAGTATGGCACAAGATGAGACAGCCTTCGGTCGTAAGCTGAGTAGTGTGGATGCCATTGACTAACGATCGCAAATAACATGCGCAGAGTAACAGGAATAGCCCCTCACAGACACTCACTTTAGTAATGGCGAAACCCGGGTTTCAGAAGCGCTCTCCAAGATGCATGAATATTCTCTGCCTCGCATTTATGGAAAAAAGTGGAAGTCGGGGACAAAGTTCCGGGCGCTAATTAAGCATATATGATTGGCTGACCAATCAACCCTCTCTCAGACATCACATCTTGGCATCCGAAACTCAATTTGGTTGGTTATCAACAAAGAACCATCAGATGCAAATGAACGGGTGTTGCGCTGCCAATGCCGGAAGATTGGGGGCCATATTTCTGGCTTTGTGCCAGAGGTGTAATTTGAGTAGATATATAGCTGAGATGATTGCCACCAATCTTTTGCAGTTATTCAACTAAATAACCACTGAACTTCCCCTCAATACACAATATCATCTCAAAACCCGAACACCATGGCAGCCACAAGTGCAGTGAGCTTTACCCGGTACTTCTTTTACGTTGGTAATACAATTAGTGCAGAATCCAAAAGATCACTGGTTGCCCTAGCCTATGCAACTGCTCGAACCATGGAGGTAGCTCCGGAGGCTGTTCTCGTCCGGTAAGTTGTCAATCCACACTACCTAGTTAGTAAGGGCTTCACATATTTTCTTGTGAAATGTATTGCAATGGAATACTAATTCATAATGCGTGGTCTGTAGCTCGGACATACATGACACTACTACCATTGAAGGCAAGCATGTGAAGGATCCTAAAGGATGGCACGGGACTTTCGCCTTCAAAAATGGAAATCACGTCCAGCAGGAGTTCCATGTGGCGTCCCATGGGTATACCAATGGAAAACGGGATTTTGTCCTAAAGGAGGCGACTCATGCCTCTCCTAAGCCAGATAACACTCCACGAGGTGCAAAAGATTCGGGAAAAGTCGTGTGGCCACAGGAGCATCACCTTGAAGAATATGTTGACAGCCCCATTGCCTACTCCCATCTTCCCCAAAAGCCCTGAAGGCATCTAGTAAACCATACTGCAATACCGGTTAACTAGCTTTGTCACAAAAAACTCCCTCGCGCATTCTGTTTCTATTATTCGCATCCCCCCTATATGTTTTTTTTTCTTATACTGTTGCCTTTCACTTCCTTACTTGCTATAGTTATAGCAACTGCCAGGAACTAGTTAGTTAGTGTTTCAACTAAACTTTAGACGTAACTATTGCCAATCCTCCAATTTAGTCTTATAGCCTTTCCATTGGACTCTTTTAATGTCTCTACTATGTAGCCAATGATTAGAAATAATCGACACTAGCCCACAGAAAGCGATGATAAAGCTGGAGTATAAGTAGTTAATGGGTAGCGAGGTCTGTAGGCCTATAGCCAGTCCATCGACGATAGCTAGAGATGACTGTGTCATTTGATTAAATCTAGACACGATGCAAATTGCAATTCAAATTATATCCTTATTGTTGCCTGTTTGTGTTAGTTGCTTTTTGGTATAACGAGGCCGCAAGGATTTGACAGACAACTGAGTAACTGGTTATTGGTGGCCCCTTGGTGGCCATTAGAAGCTATTTTGGGAGTTTCATAAAAGGAAGATATATTGGCCCTATTTACTCAACAACAACCATATATATCCATGTATAAAGACATATAGCAGCTCTATTCTTCAGGTTATTTACAGTTGAAATCCCTCCAAACGGCAATTAACTTCATCATTATCATATCTACACTACTGTTTAAGTACCCTTAAAACATCCTAGCCATTAGTTGGTAGTGCAGTTAGGCAGGCCCTCTTGCCAGAACTTGAGAGCGTACTCGCGCAAGAAGCTCGATGATCCAAAGTCCTTGTAACTTTGGATATCACTAGCAGAGTACTTGCCACCAAGCTTGTTAAGGGCTGGGATCACGTATTTGGCACCGATATAGTCTACAAAGGCGAGATCGACAACTGTCGGCATGGAGCCATTAGTAGGGAAGGAGGCGTTTGCCTGAATGTCAATGGGCACCTTGAAATACGGGATCTTGGAGTGTGGGGTGTCGTCTCCATCAAGGCCAAAATCATCAGATGTAACGTAGCCGGGATACAACATAGAGGAGTCGATGGTGCGGCGGGTGATGGGCTTGTAGGGCTGGGGAGCCTCGCGGCGCTTGAGCTGAACGAATTCAGGCGAAGGGTTGGCGCAGACCTCATTAGTGCTTAGCTGGGGGGCCATGGGAGAGTATTCCTCGGACCGTCTCTGGTAGGGTCCCTTGTTGAGGGCATTCAGGAGTTCCTTAGCAATGGAGTACGGTACATCAGGCAGATATTGGAACTGATTCTTGAAGGGATAGACGATGTACTCGTCGTCCTTAGTGAAGGGGCCCTTGACGAGGTCGAATCGGACGCCGCCAGTGTTCAGGAGAAGCAATCTTGGCTTATCAGCGCGATCCTCCTTGACAACAACCTTGGCCAACATGTCGATAACAAGCTGGTAAATGTTATTCTTAGCTTCAAAGGGAACACAGGACATGCAGTAGGTCTCAGGGACGCATCCCAGAACGGTAGAGGTGTTGAGCTGCTTGCGAGCATCAGTGATGTCGTGCGTAATCTTCAGACCCTTTTGAGTGTCAAATTGTCGATCCTGAGACTTAGAAGCATGGTAGGCAAAGGTCAAGCGGTTCCAGTCGAGATAACGGCGGGCATAGCGGAGGTCCAATCCCTTGTGTGGATGCTGGTACGGCTGGGTAGAGGTAGTGGCATTTCCCTTGATGGCACGACGAGTGGGATTGGGAACACCTCTTGGTTTCATGCTGCCTCTGAAGGTACGAGAATTGATTCCAGTCATGGATAGCCATCCGAGGGTCTCACAGTATCTTCCGGATCCGAGAGCAGTAGAAGTCTCGTCATAGACAACGAAGTCTCGAACGTGATTGTGTCCACCAAAGGCCTGAATTGGGACACCAGGGCGAAGTTCCTGGATTTTCTGGCGCAGAGTGCGGAGGGTTGGGAATTTGTCATCAGTGCGGGCAGGTGTATGGCCGAAGATGATGAAAAGGTCAACGGGTTTGGGTGTCTTGACGGCATCGATAAACCAGGATTCCTGGACAAGATCTGCAGCTTTAATGACCTTAGAGACGTTGGAGTTACCAGTGAAATCGAAAAGGACGCCAAAGGCCATGACCTTGAGACTATGCTTGGTAGTAAAGTAGCGGTACTTGCTGCCAATGTATTCGTACTTGCCGGTCTCCTTGTTGATGATCTGGACGTTGCTGGTCACGTATCTCTCGCCGTAGACCTTGGAGAAGTTTGCGAATGTCTCATAGGCGACATCGGTCACGTACAGTTCATGGTTTCCGATGCTAAGCAGGTCGTAGTCGACGCGGGAGAAGATCTCGTTGGAGATGACGCCATTGGGCGAGGTAGAGTCACTTAATCCGTTGCCATCGTGCAAATCACCTTTTCCCAATATCAGCCAACACTGGCGACGACGGCAGGAAAGAAGATAATATAGAAGTAGAACATACCGCAGTCGATGAGAAGCAGGTCGACTCGGAGTCGGTCAGCCTTTTGTCTCATATGCTTGACGAACGAGGAATAGTCTCCCCAGTCAGCGCCGTAGTTCTGCTCCTTCAGATGGCCCTCGAGCCATCCGTGGGTATCCGTGGTGTGCAAGAAGTTGATCTGGCCCCATTCGAGAGGTCCCTTGGGTTTCGTGAGCGCTCCCAGAGCTTCAGGCTGCATGCGGCGCACCAGTCTTTTATGCTCTGCCGGCTTGCCTGGCTCGCTGCAGGAGTCGCAGGCGAGAGCTGCGGCCGCACATGCGGCGAGATTGACTAGAGTCGAGAAACGCATCTTGACTCGACCGCACAGCCAAATTGTGTGGTGACAGAACGGCCTTTGCGCTGACAGCTGGCCCAACCACCCAGAACTGGCCGGCAGGGCTTTTATAGCTGCTCGTCAGCAGCCCTTTTCTTTTGGATAATTTCCATTGCATCCTTGACCAGGCCTAAGTAAAGTGGTGATCGGCAGTGCCCGCTCAGCGAGCTAACAAGTTAACTAGTTAGTTAACTAGGTGGCCCAGCGCCGGAACAGGCCTGCGGCGTCGTCGCCATGCCTCGCTGCCTGGGCTGAATTCCCAGGACAGGGCCATAAAAGTTATCAAAAATGCTCAGCAGCATTGCATCTCCCTGTCAAGCATGTCGTATCTATTGGCTGAAAGGCATCGACGCAACCCGTTCTGGATGGAGAACCGTACTTCTGGTCCGAGAGACTAGCAGGCATCCTAGCCGAGACGGACTTTCTGATTCCCACTCTCTGGGCGTTTGAATTGTCCGAGCTGGCTGGCGGGGTCACAGTGCGCTCCTCTGGTGGCTGGCGAGAGTAGAAGTGCAGGTCGACATGCAGGACTGAAATGTTAGGATTATAAGGATATCGCCTCTGTGACACATAAACTAGACATCTAGCTAGTTAAGAATCTTCGAAGTACGGAGTAGTTAAGCAGTGAACTCCTGCCGCAGCGGCGCATGCACAACTATGTAACTTCTCCGCAACAGAAGGCAGCTTATTAGCTGATCAGTTAGTTAAGCTTATAAGCCAAAGAGAGCGGACTGGACACAGCGTCTCCCGCTCTGAAGGAAGTTTGGGCGGGCAGACTCCAGGGGATCCTCAAGGAGTGCTCCATATTGCCAAAGAAATCATTAACTGCATAACTAGTTAGTTAGCTGGCCACTGGTGTGGGCTTTCTCTTTCGGCTCAGTGGCAGCTTTTATGTTAAGGGCGAGCTAGAGGTCGGTCTTGTTTGTCAGCTCGCAAAGTTACCCGCATTTTCTTGATCCATTAACGAGTTAGTTATGCTCAACCTGGCTTTATAGCTGCAAGAAATAATCCTCTCGGAGTTTTGTATTAATTATCCACAACCTGGAGTCGAGTTGTTTGCGCCTCTGAACTAAACGATTGCCCATTACTGATGGCACATGCTGTTTTCCAGGGTGGTCCGGAATCAGCTGTTTGTTTCTACGATGTCAACCAGGGATCCTGCATTAGCTCTTTTGCCGTAGGTCTCTCTTCAGGCATCCAAGTCAGAGCTCGCCGTATGAACTTCAAGAATTTCTCGTTGTTTTCCAGCCGGTTCTCCACGGATTCAAGTGTTCTGCCTTCTGGGATGGGTGCCAGCTCCAGCCATTCACCTAGATTTATTTAATATACCAACGAACCAGGAAAGGCTCTCTCGGATGGTTAACATACCTTTCTCACCCCAGAAATCAGCTCGTCGCTCAGGGTTCTTGGCCAAAAATTCAGCTGGCGGAGGACCCAGGGCTGCAATCATCTCAGCAAAATGGACCGCATCATACGCCTGGCCATCCTCTTCATCTCGAGCTGTAAAGAGCCTCTGGCACCCGAGCAAGTCCCAGGCCTTGCGAAAGGGATGTTAGCTGGTCAATTATTTAGTACTATAGCGATGGAAGGAAACATACTGTAAGCCCAACACTCCAGATATCAACTGGATAACTCCAGCCTACATATAGTAGAACCTCAGGAGCCCTGAATTCAAGTGGCATAATATCTCCGCCATGGGGCCCTGGGCCAATTCTTGCCTCTCCAAAGTCAGATAACAGCATTGGCCCCTCTTTGGGTTTGCCTAGTCGCGACATATAGATAGTCCGAGAGTCCGAAACCGGCTTGCGAGGAACAGGCGAATCAAATTCCATCTTTTCGAGAACTTGGAGTACATTGTTATCATACAAGCCCAGTAGCAAGTTGCCAGGATGTATATCTAGTGGTAGTGAGCAAATGCAATGTCTGCCGTCTTCCAGGAAGAATACAAACATACCGGTGTGAACGACCCCTGCGCGGGTGTGGAGGAAAACTCTACAGCCTTAAGGAGCTCAATAGTAGCCGCCTTGACAAAAGATTCTTCAAAACCATTGGGAAAGAAGACGGTCTTCATATCACGGAGGCTCATCTGTGATGCTTCACAAACTAAAACGGGATGTATACCATGGGGCCCAGCTAGTTGAAAGGTGCTCAATACTCGTCGTATGTTTTGTCGTTCATATTGTGATTTAGTATTTGTAAGATGGCGAGAAATATGATCGTAAAACGGAGGTTCCCTGAGGTATTTAGACGTATGCATATATACCTTTAACGCTACATATTCATGACGCCTACAGCAGTTAGATAAGGTTATCACAGCCAAGTACTTTAAACATAGGGAGTGGGGAGAAACATGCCTGAGGTCCCTGGCCAACCAAATAGTCGATGATGAGCCAAATCCTAGCTTCGCAATCACTTGGAAACGGCCTTCAAAAACCTCTCCGAGTTTAACGGGATAAAATCGATCGGCTTTATAGTCAGGGATCGCCTCCTCTTCAATAGCTATATTTGAGTCAACGACCTGGAAGCCGTTGGTGGGAAACAACCGCCGCCTTTCAGGAAGCTTAGGAAGAAATGATTTTAGAGAAGAAGAAATGCTAGTCCATAGAAAACGCCTTGTTCTCGTTGCCGGATACACTGGAAGTTGCCAGGTAATTGGTCTTGAGTAAGCTGATAATCTTGTCAAATGAAGAGTATTAATCATAGCTTTAGAGCATATATATCTTCAGATATCATAAAACATGCATTCAGAACTTGTAACAATGTCAAAAGCAACCACTCCATCTCCAATTTACATATTGCCCAAACGTCCACCACTTGATTGTTTGTGGTTGAAAGTTGGGTGTACGGAAAAAGCAAAAATAAACGCGAGAAGCGCGTGTTCACGTGACTGATTAATTGAGTTCAATCTATTAGATAAGCCCGGCTGGACCTCGGCTCAAAAAGACTTTGGATGAAACCAAAAGGCGAAAGGAAAATTCACGGGCGCCGGCTCGGACGCGGCGATAATGGCAGGCCTGGTCAAGAATAAATATCGAGCCGGTCGTCTGTATCTGGCCTCCTTGGCCTGCCATTTGTCTTGTACTGCCGGTGGATATCGAAGGAGATTCTGAGAGAAGAAGTGGTTAGACAATGGGTGCAACGATATTTGAAGCGCCCCCTCACGACCCTTCAAAGTCGCAAATCGAGAATGTCCTCGAGCTAACGCCAGTGACAGATCTCGGCCCGGTGCGTACAGTCTTCAGGTGTCCAAGGTGCTGCCTATTCTTGATGGAATCGAATGGGCTAACGGTTTTCTGTCTTAACAGGATGTGTTTACAAACACCAGGCCCCTCTGGCATCCTCCTGGCGCTCGAGGGATATACGGGGGCGCAGCCATAGCCCAATGTCTATCTGCAGCTCAAAAAACGGTTCCGCCTGATTTCTACCCCCATAGCATGCATTGCTACTTTGTCCTTTCGGGAGATTCACAGTTACCGGTGCTATACCACGTTGAACGAGTTCGTGATGGGAGGAGTTTTGCTACCCGAACGGTCCAGGCACGGCAACAGGGGCGGCCCATATTCACCACAACCCTTAGTTTTGACCGTGAAGGAAGTTGGGGAAAGAAAGAGATCAAGCATACCAGGAAGAAACCCGATGTTCCCTTGCCCGGGCAGCCAGATGGGCTTGGACGAGGCCGAGGCCCATTCGAGTCGAGACGGGTTGGAATAACAAACAGTACGCGAACATCCGGTGACAGTGCCGCATTTTATCCCACCTACTAGCGGATAACTAGTGGTTATGCATAACCTTGTATATGCTTAATGGCTAATGACATGGATTTGAAAATAATAGGAGATTCCCCCCACGCTGCGGACAGGTCCTTGCAACTGTACAACAAGGCCCGGGGCACGATATCTGCAGAAGGTGGCAGACAAGCCCATCTGACGGCCTTAGCGTACATGTCAGATAGCTATTTCATTGGCACCGTATCCAGGGTCCACAATATCCGCCGCTTCTCATCTCCAGGGGCTATAGAAAGGGCCGCTGCAGCGCTAAAGAAAGAAGTGGGTGGCGAAGAGGAGCTAGCTAAAAGATACCTTACGGACCTAGCCGAGCAAGAGGAACAAGAATTAAAGCTATCAAAACAGACCTCAGATGACCCCAATATGGAAGTAGGCATGATGGTCAGCTTAGATCACACGATATATTTCCACGACAGGCGGGCGTTCCGTGCAGACGAATGGATATTCTCAGAAATGAGAACTCCATGGGCCGGGGCAGGCCGAGGCCTTGTCCTGCAGCAGATGTGGGCTCAGGATGGCTCCCTGATCGCGACATGCGTGCAAGAGGTAACTAAAAAGATTCATAATCTCTGCTATATTTCTTTTTCTATCCGCCCTCTCTCTCCAAATCTCAAAGCACCCTTGCAAAGTACTAGACCAGACGGCTGACCATTCGATGCAGGGAGTCGTTCGACTTAAGCAAGATAAGCCCCCAACAAGCAGCAAACTATAATCCGGTCGACAGTGTTTTTTCTCTTTACCGTGCTACACGCCTTTAATTCCAAGGTAATGCATGTGGCATAGGTACCCCCTTCGTCTTCGTTTCTTGTTACTTATAGGGCGTCTCTTTCCCCGCAACCACGTATATAGAGGGTGTTTTCAATTCAATCTTGTATGTATCCTTTTTTCACGCACGTCATTCGAATATAATTCTTTATACGGACTTCCTCCCACTACTTGACTCTGTCGACCTAGCATCACAGGGTCTCGTTGGCAGAGCTTCATGAAATAACAAATTCAAAATACCTCCCTTTCCTCCATTGATACATGCCCCATTCCGATACCATGCAGCAGATAAAAGACAGGGGAAAAAAGAGAGAAAAAAAAAAAAAAAAAAACCGCCCAGATTTATGATTCAACTTGAAATATCCAGATGTTCAACCCAACGAGAAGAAAAAGGGGGTTGATACCATGCATGCCTGCTTTGTCAGCAAGCTACGTCATAGGTAGCTTCCTTCGCCCGGCAAAAGTTCGATATTGTCTCTCCCCAGTGAGAACGACCTTTGTACGCTGCCATGTCTTCAGGCCAGCTCTCGATATCCTTTGCCAGCAGTTGAAGCTCGCCAAGGGGGAGGTCCTCCAGGAACGAGACTGTTGTTTTGACAGTGAAGAGGATGCCGTTGGTTTTCGGAAGACGGTTGAAGGTCTGCCTCTCACGGCGGATCAGGACGCGTTCAGGGGTTGGTACGGTGTGGTCTTGCAGCAGGCCCTCGGGCTGAAAGAAAATAGATTCCCAAGGTTCATCGGGCTGGATAACCTGGACGAAGTAGCTGGAGCGTTCCATGGGCGATTCAGGGGTTAGCCGCGCCATGAACCTGTTTATCAGAACGTCAGCGGGAGTGAACCATGGAAACGGAGCCGGCCCGAACAACCAAACCGAACATCAGGAACTATGGGAAGCCTTACTTGTTCACGGAAAAGGCGATCTGCCGGGCCCATTGTGGTACGGGAGCATGCATCTCGTTCAGCGTCGAGCCCATGCGTGTATTGGCAGACCAACCAATAAGGAATGCACTGGAGGTTGCAGCCCTACACGATATCATCAGCAAGTTGAACACAATTATTTATCGAAAGTGGATAACTAATTTGTTTGATTGATAGACAGATACAACGTACACATAATGGTCACCGCTGTCATTCTTGAGGAGGATGGTCATGTCTTCCATGGCTAGCCTAGCGGCTGCTTCCAGGGGTGGAGTGCTGCTGTTCTCCAGGGAGAACTCTTCTCCCATACGGTTGTTTCTTACGATAGTCCCTGATGCTGACTCTTTGAGTTCAAACATGTCAGGGTATGTCCGGCATAGAAATGAGGACACTTCCTTCAAAGCCTCGTCGCATGCCTCTTTTGCTTCAGGAAGGCACTGTGACACCTCCCGGTTCCTGTTGTTGAAAAGGTTGGCTCGCACTTGATGTCTAGCGTTATAGTTATCGTCAACGACGAGCCAGCCAACTTTGTCCATTCTCTTGAGGCCCATGGTGATTCGGTATTTCGGTTTCTCTCGCACTGGAGCTGGAGATGATACTGGGCCTTGGCCTGAGGCAGAAGAGTGAGGGAGGGTCACTCTCTGGACCTCGTTCTCTGCCTTTTGCTTCTGGGCTCGCCATGAGGAGCGGGACAACCATTTATGTGTCCAGGTCAGAACAATGCAGAAGATGGCCACCAGAGAGGCGGCATTGAAGAGGATGAACATGACGGCCAACGGCTCTCTATTGACAGCGACAGCGGCAATCTCTCATATGAAAATCAATGTTATTGAAGTGAAAGGAAAGCAGTCCAGAGGAGAGCTCGAACAGAATGAAATATATAGAGACTCAGAGTGAAATCCATTTCCATGTGGTCAACGGAAAAGAAAACAGGAAAAGGAACAGGATGCCCGAAGGGATTTTATTGCAACCACGAGCAGAAGTGCCGGAACTCTCAGTCAATATAGCCCAGTCCAGTCACACAGTGAACAGCGTCGGCCCCATTCCCATTGATAGCGAGCTGAGCCACAGGCAGCAATGAATAACCCACCAACGATCCCTATTCGTGAATGTGCGACAAGCACGACTGGGTTAGCAAGAAGACATACGATCATCCATAAGCTTCGTTCTTGGAAACGACAAGAAGCAAAAAGCTTCAAGCCTGTCATCCTATCCTCTTCCCCCTCTCTGCCCCCAACCCGTCCAGAAGGATATATGCTTTAATTGTGGATATATTGTTTTTATTTTCCTGCAGGCAATCGCGCGAAGGTAAAGGGGGTTCCACCGCTGAACTAACTCACGCTTTTCTCACAAGCCCATCATCCATAATCGGTGGCCCAGGGCCAGGGCCCACGGATCCAGATCGTCTGTCCTTGTCCGTGCGCCAATGAAGCAAAAATCTTGGATTTGCAGCCGATGGAGAGGCTCGGAATGTACGGTTGAAAGACCACTGATTGAGCGGTTTTGCTTATGACGCCGACCACGGAGAACAAATTCCACCAGCTCATATCATTGCGACATGGGAATGGTATACGTTGTACGCAAATATTAGTATGCATGGAGTATTATTTGCTATGACTGTCTATGCTCCCTTTTTGCCTTTTTTCGTTCCTTTTTCCCGTCGACACCTCCCAATGGTGGTACTTCCAGGTGGAAGAAGGCCACGCGATCTTTTGATTCCACCCTGGTCCTTCCATCCCCCTTCGACGAAGTATGAAACGGGAGCAAGCTCACGAATGATGACATTAATACAACGCTGACGGTCTTGAATAGATATCTATACGCCTCCTTGCCACATCAATCATTTACGCTCGTGACCGCTTCAATTAACCAGTTAGCCGGCGATACCGAGGACTCACACATACGGTGTATACTTGGACATATCTACGCACCGCACTTGCGCTTTTTATGCCCCTTTGAGTGTGCACAACGGCCAAGCAGCGTTCCATGTCAGTGGGAGGCTTTAGCCCGTATCCACCCCCGCGAGAAATATCCCTGTCCTATATGAAATGGGAAGTATTATCCTCAACTAATATTTCTGCGCAGAGGGCGGCTGTTGTTCGACAAGCCAGGCCTTCGGTCCGGTCATCTATGAATGTGGCTTGTGACACTACGAAGCGCGAACCGAGAGAACTAACTACACTCTGCCTCGAGGGAAGGAAGCAATATCCCCCCTTTCACGACGGGGTCCCTCGACCTCGTAAAGAATGGGAAGTTTGAATTCAAAGTCTGTCGATTATACGGACGATGGATGGCTTTGTTTCTTTCTCAAATTTCTCATTGCTTTTTTGGTCATGACTGTCATGTCCTGCAAGAGATTTTGATGATGCCAGTCTTGAGCTTGGCCGGCGTTCAAGGCCAGCTGACAATGTCACTGATCCATCCTCGTTGGACAAGTTCGAAAGCAGGGATTCGCTGGCAGACAGGTTGTCTGGACCGTTAGACTGTGGAGTGCAGTGGTACTATTGGAAACAGTCATAATTAATTCTGTCCGGAGTCGGTCAACTTTTTGACGTCTCCTGGTACCTTTTGGTGGAGAGAAAAGACCCCCACGATACTCCGTATGGTACAACCAGTTCGGCTTTGGGCGTTTTTTTTTTTTTTTTTTTTTAATACAGTGGCTAGAAGTGGCGGGCACACAGAGAAAAACGCCTTGCAGGGGATCAGGGGATACGTTTCGCGTGGCCTTTTTGGACATGCTGCTTATGATGGGCTGAATGATCGAGCTTGACCTCAAATATTGATTCCACTTCTTTTGTAAAGAAGCGGTCGAGCGGAACTCAAGCAGTTGTGTATTGAATGCCGCTGTCACCGCCGCTGCTGGTCCTGCTTCTCCTCACCTGTGTCTTGTCAGAATCCCATGCCCCTGTTCAGTGCTGCGCCTCGTACTGCATGAACCCCCTCCCCGTCAGACGAAAAAAGAATCCGCCCAAGTGACCACCCAACACGCTTCGAACGGGGAACATCCATCAGCACAATCCAGGGATCCACAAGGTTATGTTGTTTTCGTCTCCATATTGCGGTGTTTAATGCGATTCGTTTTACCGCGGTAGCCGTGGCTGCAACATGTCTGCCCAGGCCCCTAGTCGCTAGCAGCAAGCCACTTGCTGGGCCATGCCAGGTGGTCAAGTGAGCTTTTGCCTGATCCATCGCACGATGAGAAAAGGTAAAGCAGCAGCAGCCAGCTGATGCTCAAAGCACTGTGGCCCGATATTTTCCTGACATCGGCAATAGGAGAAGAACACCTGGAGACATGACAGCTGCAGACTGTCATGCAAATTGGCCAGCACCTAAGAGTGAGCGAATGAGTGAGACAGACGTGGAAGACAGAAAACAGTCGACGAAGAAGATCGAGAAGAGCATCAAGGACGCATTCAACCTGCCTGGGTGCCTAACGCATCCTAGCTACATGGTACATTACATTTATTACCTCAAAGAAGCAAAAAAGGGGGGATACACACCCCAAGGATGAGAAAGGGAGGAGGTCGCGTGTCCGTTATCCAGATAAAGTCAATGCCAGGCAACTCTCGAAGCCAGCACAGCCTTTCCTTCATGATTAATGCAGGGATGATAGCAATATGAAGACGAATGACTGGTTGATTCGGTGTCTCTGCAGCTTTTCCGGCTCTGACATACATCATCTCTTTGCTTTTCCCGCTGCCCCGTCGGCATGTCAATATGTGCTATGTTTTCTGTCTAGTGTCGTATATCATAGCATACCCTTGTGTGCATATTTGTTATTCAACGGGATATCGATACTCTTCTTCACAGGGGAAAGAAGGGGAGGGAGGGTGTAATAACTAGTGCATGGGATGAAAGGGATATGGTCGGTGATTTATGTAAAATTATCGTATGATCGGCGGCAGCGAAGAAGCCTTGGGGAGACGTTTTGCTTCTTCTCTTCTTCTCCCGTCGGGTTGAAGTGCTTATTTCCTTTCGTACATGAGTAGCAAACAATTGGAATAAGAAAGGAGCAGAAGCCGAGAGCAACTATTTGACGTTCGGTGCCTGTAAGGCAGACAGGCACACCGGGAAGAAATACGATGTTAAGAAAAGTGAAAGATTCTTTTTTTTTTATTTGAGTAGGCTAACGATATTGACAGCCGGGCCAGTCGGATCGAAGGGGAAAGGGGTATATAAATCAGTAGGGCGAGGCTGGCTATATTATTTAGCAAAACAGAACGATGGTCGTGGGCTGCGTATAGTAGTAAGTATGCCGTGATATGGTGCTGGTAGATGTCATATATGGCGTGAATGCTGTACGTGTGTTAAGAGATAGGTAGGATGAATCTGCTACCAACTCGGCAACCGGCAAGAAAGAAGTGAGTGAAAGGGGGAAAGGAAGGGGATAAAAATAGATCTATCACGAATAGAAGGGAAGTGAAAAAGAAATGCGAGGCCAATCAATGAGTTAGTATGTAAACCAAGGCGTGATATCAATCCACGGGGAAATGGCCAAGGTGGAAATGCAAAGCCCCCTGTCTCCTATTCTAATGTTTCCTCCAACGTTTTTTTGATAGGACCTCTCTCTCTTCTTCTTCACTCTATTCTCTCGTTCTTATGGATTTTTTTTTGTTGGCCGATTTTTTGCTTTGCATGGATAATATAAAGGGGAGGGACTGGAAGGGGAAGTCGGAACGAAAGATACCCTTTATCGGAATCTTGCTGAACAACGTCCCATGACTTCGCCTTGACAGACGAGTTCAGCGTTGAACTCGCTGCCGTCAAGAGTGAGGTAGATGTCGAAGTACACTCGGTAAAAAGTACCCTGAGGAGTGTCCATGCGTTCAAAATCCTTTTCAAGGTTTTTGCGAGACAGGTCAGATGTTAGGGTGACAACTTCCTTGATCCCTATGATAAGAGCGATATTAGCTGACGATTCAAGAAGAGAAATGGGAGAGAAAAGGTGATAACATACGTGGATCCTTTGTATATTCGGGACAAACATCCTCATCGCACGCGTATAAGATATCCTCGTACATTAGTGTCGCTCCTGGCGCCACCTGTCTGAAGAAGCTGACCTTGACAGGCTCTCCGTTCTTGATACGCTCGCCCTTTTGCACGAATATCTGGCGCGTGTACTTGCATCTATCCTTGCCATCAAGGGACGGGACACGGTACTGTTCAGGGTGGTGACCCTCCTTGAACGGCTGCAGGGTGGCCATCAGATAGTGTCTACGAGCCACGCGGGAGGTAACAACACGCTCTGTGATACCGGCGGTTACTGCACCCTTTACGATAGCGGCGACGGAATCCATGGGGCGGACGACTTTGGACTGATACTGTGGAGGGACGTGGAGTTTTATCTGTTGGAAAAGATACTCTGATGCACCGAATCCACCGACAACAAGGACATTCTACACTATTAATATAGGATTGAACAGTGATGGCATTGGGGAGGACTTACCTGTAGTGGTCTGTTCTGTGCCTGAATGGCAATGATCTGGTTCCTGACCAGCTCCAAAATGCGATTAACAACGGGCTCAAAACACTGCAGAATCTCTTCATTGGTGAAAGTCATGTAGCCTTCTTCGATGCCGGCTTCAGGGAAATCAGCCTCGATACCAACATCAACGGCCCACTTCTGCCCGTTATTTCTGAAATCGGCTTTGATTCTGTTCTCGAAGTCCATGATGCATTTGGCATATACCTTCCCGGCCGTACGTGATCCATCTGGCAGCTTCATCTTTCGGATCTTTGCGCGCAGGATGTTGCTGAAATTACGGTTGAGCGCGGTAGAACCACAGCTGTCGCCGGATCCAGCAGTACACTCGCAGACGCTGAAGGGGGTCTCCTCATCGACTTCGTAGGCGATGAGATCGACTGTACCACCACCACAATCAACGATGAGGATGGCATCATGGATTTTGAGATTGAGTAAACCTGTCTTTGCACAGAACATGGCTGCGGCCTCTGGCTCGGTGATCAAGGTGAGACGATTATCATTTTCATCGCGCAGGAAGCCGGCCTGTATGGCAGCCGCACGGGTAGCAGCTTTTCCAGCATCGTTCCAGATGGCGGGGACGGTCAAGAAGTAGCGGATGTTGCGTTCTTCACGGTTGAAAACTTCGCCCAGAGTCTTCTGGAGCTGGTTGCGCATGGCCCCGCGTAGATGGAAGAGGTAGTCTGCGGCCACATCTATCTCGGATTTGCCTGGCGGTAACGGGGGCAGGTTTATGGGGTCTATATAGGTGTTTCCACCGGAGGACATGAGCTGTAGCTTGAACCATTCGACTTTCTGTACGCCTGCTTTGGGGTATCCGGTGGGAGCGAGTGCGTCTGCGATATCAGGACCCCATCCTACGACTTTTTGATACTGGTCGTAGTATAGAACGGTAGGTATCTATATAAAAAAAAGTTAATGTCAATCTTTGTTTATTTTGATAATTATAGATAAGAGACCTATAAACGAACCTTCTGTTTGGTATGTGTGCCAGCACCAGGCCACTCAGTGATAATGTCCTCCCTGGCCTCAGTATTGGTAGCAAAGGCATAAGCAACACCGGAGAAAGTGGTTCCAAAATCAATACCGACAATCAGCTGGGCCTTGCTGCGCGCCTGGTTGTCGAGCTCCCCGGTATGGCCGCGAAATGGCGCGAGGGGCTGTGGGATGCCATGCCCCTGGCCAGTCGACTGAGGCGGGTAGCCACCATACCCTGGCGGCGGAGGAGCAGAGGACATGCCGCCTCCGGTAGGGTATGGTACGCCCACGCCCGTGTTCAGCGGCGGCGGGTGGTGGGCGAGCTGCTGCGGGTGATGCTGGCCGCCAGGCGGGAGCGGGCTGGCGGGCCTGGGGGCGCCGGGAGCGTATGTGTAGCTGGGCGGGCGGCCGAGATGGTTCTGCGGGTTCATGGGGAGACTGGCGGACGAGGCGTTTGGGTTGGAGGTGTTGCCTGGCGGCGGCGAGGGCTGCGAGGGTGACCCGTTTGGGGGGGTGTTGGTCGCGGTGGTTGTAGGAGCGAGAGAGGAGCCACTCTTGCGCTTGTTTCCAAAACCGAGCTTGAATCGAGAGCTCATGAGATCCATAAAACGGGGGTGTCGAGTAGATGGGAGGGAGGAGAGGAAGAGGGAGAAGGGAAGAAGAAGAAGAAGAAAAGAAA